CATATTATTAAGGGTAATGAAATTATGCCAATTGCAAAGAATATTGATAAGATAATGAATATGAGAGCCCCGATTAATAAAACGGAAGTACAGGCGTTTTTAGGAGCAACGAATTATTATCATCGTTTTGTTCAAAATTTTGCAGAAATTGCTACTCAGTTGTATGATTTATTAAAGAGAAATAAAAAGTTTGAATGGGGAGAAGCACAGGAGAAAAGTTTCGAAAGATTGAAAATAAAGATGGTAGAGAAACCTATATTAAATTGTTTTAATGAGAATTTAGATATTATATTAGCAGTTGATGCGTCCAATGAAGGTATAGGAGGAGTATTGTTACAGATGATTGATAATATAGAGAAGCCTATTTTATTTTTGTCAAGACATTTAAATAAGGCAGAAAAAATTTATTCAACTATAGAAAAGGAAGCGTTAGCAGTAAAGTTTGGTCTAACTAAATGCAGAGAATATTTATTGGGTCGAAAGTTTATTATATACTGATCACAAACCGTTGGTAGGACTATTTAGAAAAGATAACAAAGAGTGATGATTTCGCCCAGGTTACAAAAATGGTTGTTATTGGTAGGTAATTTTGATTTTGAAATTAGATACAGAGAAGGTAAATTAAATTGTTTACCAGATATTTTATCAAGATTATTCATAAAAGAAACAGAAGAGGAAGAAAGAGAGTCCAAAACCTATAATGTAGAAATATGTTTAGCAGAAGAGGAAGTTAATAATATATAAGATCTTTGAAAGTAGATACTAGAGAGAAACCGATAACTTTGGAACTGGTAGACAATATATCTAAACAAGATGAAGAATTAATGAGAATTAAAGCATGTTTGAAAGGAGACATAGAATGAAAAAATAAGGGCACATTCAAAAGAGTTAAGAATGAATTATATATTGAAGACAATTGTCTGATGAGAGGATATCGTGTAGTAATTCCATGGACGTTAAGAAAAGATATTCTAACAACGATACATATAGGACACCAAGGTATAGAAAGGATGAAAAATAAAGCACGGGTATATATTTGGTGGCCCCAAATGAATAGGGAAATAGAAAGTTTAGCTAGAAGTTGTGATACCTGTAACATGTGGGCAAATGTACCAGCAAAAAATAAAACAGATAAATGGCCAGAAACAGAGGTTCCAGGGAAAAGAATACACGTAGATTTTTTAGAATATGAAAAAGAAAATATTTTATCATGGTAGATGCTGGGTCAAAATGGATAGATTATCAACAGGTGTCAGGTTTAACAACAAGAGTAGCCTTGACGAGAATAAAGGATTTTGTAGGTAAGTTTGGATTAATGGAAACTTTAGTTTCGGGTGGAGGACCAGCGTTTAAAGGTAGAGTGTTTGACCAATTTTGTGAAAGGTGGAATATTAAGCATTTATTATCGCCACCACATTACCCGAGAAGTAATGGACAGGCCGAGAGAATGGTTTCCATTGTAAAAAGCTGGCTTAAGAAAGAAAAATATGGAGAAGGAAAATGGTGGTTATTGTTATTAGCTTACAATAACACTAAGACAGCCAAAGGGAAGTCACCCGCGGAGATATTTTTAGGTAGAAAAACAAGAATGGAATTAGATTTTTTGAAAGAAAAAATAAAACAAAAAGATAATACAATATGAGGAGAAATTTAAGGTTGGAAGCTTAGTTTGGATTCTTATGTTTGATGGTCCAATTAAATGGGGGAAGGGAATAGTAAAGAGAAATTTAGGAAGAAAAGGAGTTGCGGTAGAAATTGAAGGACAAAAGGGAACTTGGTCTAGACATATCAAACAAGTAAAACCTAGATACTTAGAGCAATAATATTGGATATAATTATAGATAGAATGTTTTAGGATTTAGGAAAATATATAATGAGATGGAAATTGATGATAGACATAATTATGAGAATCATAATTTCTGATGATATGGAATTGATGATAGACATAATTATGAGAATCATAATTTCAGAGAATATAGAATTGACGATAAACATAGTTATGAGAATCATAATTTCTGACGATATGGAATTGATGATAGACATAATAATGAGAATCATAATTCTAAGGATGATAAATTGATGAAGGACATAATTATGAGAATCATAATTTCTGACGATATGGAATTGATGATAGACATAGTTATGAGAATCATAATATCAAGAGGAATAAAATAATTACGAGAGTATGAGAGATTATAGGAGATCATTAGACTTTTTTTAAAAAAATTAAATTATATAGTAATTTGTTTTAGATGGCTTCCTTCGTAAGAGTAGGAAATAAAATTATTAAAATCAAAATACGAGAGGTTGGCGGATCCGTAGAGTCGAAGAAATGGATAGAAGCAGCCCGGTTGGAGGCACAACAAAGATATGGAGAGTTATTGCAAGAAGTAACGAAAAGACCAAGATATGAGACCAGGATCAAGATTGGGTCAAGAGAAGTCGAATGAAGTGTTGGTCTTGCGGAGGCACCCACAAGTTACGTTACTGTATAACTGCGGCGTTAACCTCCGACAACAATACTCTGCTATCAGTAAGAGAGGATATTGACCAGCCTAAATCTTTCACACCAGTGGATTTTTAAGGGGGGATGGTGTTGTAATTATTCAATTTTTCCTTTTTTTATTAATTTTTTTTATATTGTTATGTAATTATTTTTTTGAATATTATAATTTTTTTATATTTGAATATTAGAATTAGTTATTATTATATTATAATCTTAGTTGGGCATTGTTAGTTCGCCATTCAAATTTGCCAATTGAATATTAAAAAGATATATATATAGGAAACAAAATCATTAAAAAAATTCATTATTATTATTCAACCAACAATTATTTCAATTATTCACGGATTATTATTTCAATTTCAAAATAAAGGTTTGATGTTATAAATATTTAATCTTTAATCTTCCTTTTTTTTTATAATAATCAACGTCAAAATTCAACACTAATATCTATTTTTACCCTTTGTCTTAAAAAAATTGAAAAAAGTTCAAAAATAACGATTATGACAATTGTCACTTTCTTGTGGTACATCTTCACTGAAATTTTAATTTAATATGTTAACAATATCTATTTTTAACCATTTGCTTTAAAAAAGTTCAAAAATAACGATTATGACAATTGTCACGGTATATCCTAATTTTTTTTTACATTTTAATAATATAAATTTATTATACCTATTTGCGATTGCGACACAATAAAAGTTAAAAAAAAATAACGATTATAACAATTGTCACTTTTCTGTGTTACACTTACTTTACATCTTCATTGAATTTTAATAAAAAAATTTTTTTAAATATAAATTTTTGCCCATATATGTCAAAAAAAGTTTAAAAATATCGATTATGAAAATTGTCGGTACATCTTTATTGAATATTTATTTTAATTTAACATGCTTAACCCATTTACTTCGAAAAATAATATCAAAAAAATAATAATTTACTATAACATTATAAAATATGAAGATCTTTGAAGATCGTTGATCTAAAATATAGATCGCTGTTCAAATTTTTTAAAAATAAAAGATCTCATTTTACGATCTTCAAATTTTACGATCTTCAAAGATCTCGATCTCTATAGATCGATGCTCAAAATTTTTTTTAAATAAAAGATCTTCAAATTTTACGATGATCTTTGAAGATCTTTTTATATGTACATTTGTTTAATCATGAATTACTTTTTCACATTTTAAAATCATTTATTCTCAAATTCATAATCCTTTATATATGATATTTATTTAATATATTAATATAAAATAATAAATCAATCATTTTACAATATTGGTATTTGTTCGAAGTGTTGACTAAAAATCTATTAAGTTAATCTATAATATATCAAAATAAAAAAATATTTAAATATCATTTCAACACCCCCCTCCCCTCCATACTATACCAATTATAAACCTAAATGTATCATATAAGCATAACCTTGATGCCCTAATACTCCTAACCTCGAAAATCCACAAATATTGCTCTTCAATCCTTTTTCATATTCTTGCTCTTCGCTTGCTTTAATCTGACATCTTCATCTAGCAAATGTAAAAGATATATTAAATATTTATGTAAACCGATCAGAGAAAAGTACAATAAAAAAATTTTATGGCAAAAGCTAGCTATTACTAAATTAGTTTGAACTACCTAAGCTTTATCTCTTCTCCTCAGTGGCGTAGCTAGAAATTTTTCTTAGAGAGGGTCCATACATATAAAAGACTGGGGGGCTTCGCCCCCCAGACCTCCTTTAACGGGCCTTCGGCCGGGTTTATTTTACAAATCATAACCATATCTTCGATAATATATAATAAATATATTTTTTAAATGCCTCAATAATATGTTATTATAATTTGGTAGATTATTCTCAATGACTTTATAATTATACTAACCAGAATAATTTCAATAGTAATATAATATCCTTTCACAAACATCAAAACCAAAATAATATAAATATTAATGATATTTATTGAAGAAGTCACTTTTATGTCTTTTGAACGTATAATCTAAAAAAATATTTTTGCTCTGGGAGGGGTCCATACCCGAAAACCACCCCCGTAGCTACGCCACTGCTTCTCCTAGATTCTCATACTTTCTTAAATATTTTCTCAAATTAAATTTAATAAATTTTTTATCCTTTTGAGGGCTCTAACTAACATTTATGTTTTACTTGATAATTATAAAACAATGATATATATTGATAAGTATTGATTGATATCAAAAATTAAAATAATAATATATTTAAAAATGTTTATCAAAAATGGCTGAAGATATCTATAATACTCCGAATTAAAATTTCCAAAGTTTAATGAAAGCTCCCTAATAGTGATTTACTTACAGATTATCTAATTAAAGCATCTACTACCCGTTTATAAATTTTATTTTAAAGTTTATAGGAAATATAATATATAACTTCCAATTTTAAGAAAAAGATAAACGCTTTATCGTTCGGTTTTCTAATTAAAATTTTTTTGGTTGGCTTATGACATGTAAATTGTAAATTTAGGAATAAAATATAATTAAACTTATCTTATGTCAAAATGAAATTGTTTTTTAGATTTAAAATTCTTTGTTTAATACTACATAAAAATGTATTTAGACTTTTATAATCCCTCAATATTTGATACTCCTTGAAATTAATACTATGAATATTAAACAAGAATATGATGAATTAGAAAGAACAGATGGTTGGGAGGATTTATTTATGGTTTAATTTACATAATAATTATATATATAGTTAATAAATAGGATATAAAATATGATTCAGATTTTGATTACAGTTTTCAAATTGCTCAACTTCCACAAAATAAAGAGAGAAATCGCTACTCTAATGTTATTCCATGTAATTGTTTTTTGATAATAATATAGTCAAAGATTATATAAAATCTGAATATATATTAAATATTATTTCTCAATTAATATTTTTGTTAATTAACTAATTACAAATTCTGAGTATCAATTAATTGATAGGTAAAAATGAATAAATTGCAAATTATTCTATTTTTAGCATTGTTACAGTAAAATATTTTGTTACAATATCAATTTAGATGACCATAATCGAATAAGATTAAATCCAATGCCATCTCTAAAATCCCTGTCAAATACTAATCAGAATCACACCCATAGCAATCCTACAACCAGATATGGTGCTTATAAAAATAGCTCATTATCACACAAAATCATACGTTCTAGGTGGTTTAAAAAAAACATAATGAACAACTACTCAAATACTAATTCTAACACTAACCTCAGTAGCAATCTAAATAACAGGAATAGCAACAAAAGTTCTTCCTCACAACATCAATCTACCTTCAATGATTACATCAATGCAAGCCTCCTCCCTATATATATTCCTTGCTATGACAGCAACCCCAAGAATCTCACAACAGAAGATACCAAAGAAAGGGAAAGAAGTGGGAAATACAAAGAAGACAAACTAGCTAATAAATTAGTCAATCACAATGACAAAGGCCATTGCTATTATTACATACTCACACAAGGACCCTTATGCCATACATCACCTCATTTTTGGCAAATGATTTGGCAGTACAAAGTCAGATGTATCATAATGCTGAACAATATTGTGGAGAGAGGATCGGTAAGCTCATTTTATATTATTAATCATAGAATTTAAAATATATGTTCTTTTCTTTTTTTTAAACCTTATTGGCATTCACTTTCTCATTTGAAAGTTAGACTTTGTGGGTACATATCTATAAGTTTTCTACAAGGGGAGGGGGATAATTTTTTTTTAAACATTAAAAATTTATTAGATCTTAATCACCATATAAAATTTATTAAAGCTAAACAAATTTTTAAAAATTTTGAGTATAAATAAAAAATTATTAAAGAAAGGAATAAAAGTTATGCCTAATATTTATAGATGTATTGGACCAGGCCCATATCTTCCCTCTTTGGGACAGTTTTTTTTAAGATAGCTGTTTTTGGCTGGAAAATTTTTAAAAATATTACATTCAAATAGCATTTATGAAGATTTTTATAAATCAAAAATTATTTTTTAACAGTTAGAAATTAACAGAGTTGTTAAAATGGTATCGGAAAAAAATATCTTATATCTAATTACTATTTTAGATGTATCTCTATCTATTTTTAGATACCTTTGAAGATACATTTCTAATTTTATTTCATGTTTTTTTAATATTAAAACAAGATTATTTCATCACAAAAACAAATTAGTCAAATTTTATTTTACACAAATTTTATTGTTTAATTTGTATATATTAATTTAAAAATATACATGATTTCTAGATAATATTTCTAGACAATCTCTGAAAAAGAAATCGAATAATTTAATATGCAATTTTTGGACACTCCTTAGAATATATAATATTGATTTAAGTTTTGACACTTTAGCAAATTTTGAATCATTTTTTTTTAAATGAAATTTTGGGATTTTAAATATATTTAATACATATTTTTTGTGCATAGGTGTGATATCAGTTAAATTAATTTAACTCACTTCGAAATTCAAATATAGCAATATAATCCTAAATTAAACATTATATTATGCACATCTTATGTAAATATAATAAAACTATTACCTAGATCCACTACGTATCTGTATCTAGTAGATCCATTCGAAAAGTATCTTTTATCAACTCTGGAAATCGATAAACAAAGTTATCGATAACTTAAAAAAAATTTTCTATAGATGAATAAATTATTAAATATTCTCGATTAATTATTTACATCTTGGCACTGTGCCTGTCCACAAATTTTTCACCAATCAAAATCCGATATTTCTGCAAAACCGATCCGGTAACCGATACTTATCCGATATTCGTATTGATTTATTTACCATGTATCTTTAAACTAATCTCATAAAAAAAATCAATATTTTTTTTTTATTCTCCAAAAGTCAATAATCTATCTCATTTTAAAATATGGGCAATGTATTATGGCTGAATGTAGTAGTGGTTGAACGGCTTTAGCCTATTTATTTTTTAAAAACTGTTAGATCAATATTTTGACCGAAATTATTGCAACCTAAGGCCTCTAAATTTTCGTCCAATAGATGGTGTTCTAAAACCCTTCTGCCACCCGTAAGCTAAATCTCTCAAGCTCGGGTAATTTATTTTTTTTGGGCTAGAATTCTTGAGTTTTACCCTTTTTATTTTTAAAAGATAGGATAAATTTAACCGTTTAGCAACAATAACTGAATGTTATTGGTTAAAAAAAAATGAAGATTTAATCCTTTTCTTATTGGTAGATAATTATAACATCAAAAAAATAATAATGTGCCAAATTTTTAGCGCTCTTAATATAAAATAAATTTACGAAATTATTATTGTTGTTAAACGTTACTTTTGAAACGTAGCTAGTTACAGTTATTTTTTTTAATGTAACCCTTAGAAGTAACTAGTTACTTCAACAACACTAGGAATTACGTATAAATTTAGAGAAGAGATGAAAGAAAGAAAGAAATACAATCATAATTAACTAAAAAACAAAAACAATAAAAATAAATATATCTGTTCATATTTTTACAAGAACATCGGGACTTTTTTTTAAAGTTTTTCATGAATCGTCATTCTCGCTAAACCCGATTGGCCAAAATTCTGGGGAAAATTAAAATTTGTGACATTCCGTTAAAAAAAAAATATTACGCAAGCCTGAAGATCTTGCTCATAGATGGCACTAAGGTTTGGACATTTATTAGCAAAATCTCTAGAAAAATTTTATTTTGCCAAAAAAGGGTCATTTATGGCATTTTGACCACTGATATCCCAGGAACTATCAAGTACTAGGAGGCTACTAATTTTGGATTCGATGCCTTCTAACGATGTCAGTATGCTAAATTTTTATCAAAATTAAAAAGGTAGGGCCGAAAAGCTATGGATTTGTGGTACGGAATTATCCTATTATGAAATCATTTTCCAATCAAAATTTTTTTCGAGAAGTAACTTTATGACTGGCTCCTTCAAATTGCTAAATAGTATTGCTTATTTAACAGAATTTGACCAGACGGAACCCTAGAAATCTCGCCATTATGAGCGCAGCCCGGTCACACGATAAAATATATTTTAACTGGCAAGTCCCGAGTAAATATAATTACGGTTCAGGACGAAAACCCGATAAATTATTTTCTGGACCGGTTCGAGCTGACCACTACTTTACCTATCTTCTATGAAACAAAACCTAGAACCCCTTACTGGTTTTTACACGCGCTTGCCAATATTAAAAGGGTCCCTACAATGCTTATAACATAGATTAGACGGTGTTGGTGGTTAGCCGCCCTAAACTCTTAGCTTAGGGCTGAATCAATTTATCAATCAACAGCAACTCCTACGATAATTCAGTAATTTATATAAAGCCCATATGGAACATGGACCTTAAAATATGATTTTTAGATTAGGTTTTTTAAAACCATATAGTTGCTGTTCCGAAGAAAAAATTCTAATTTTAGATGGCAAGCGATTCGCCAAGACTCCTTGTTTCTGGAAATGTTTAAGAGTGAAGTTTTCTTTGGTTCCTGGAAATTTTAAGAAAGGGATTTTTCTATTTCTTAATCCTATTTGACCCGGTTTCTATGACATTTTTTGATTTCCGTCTTTTCCAGAGGAATTCGATAAAAAATAAAGATGATGCTGAAATTTCGCTTCATTTTATATTATTTTTTATTATTGTACACGTAACCATTCGGAGTTTTTAATGTAGGGTGCCAACAGGGCATTTGACCCCCCCCTCTCTCTAAATAAAATATCGAATCCGCCATTTGCACTTAACATTTCTCCATTTTTTTCTGATTTATTAACAATACAATTCTACATTTCTTTTCTTTCTTTCTTTATTATTTAGCTTCCTTTTTCAAAATAAATGTTAATGAAAATAATTAAAATATTATTTTTTTGCCAACTTTTTAAAAAACGTTTTTTAAATTTAATTTTCGAAAATAAAAATTTACCACCTTTTTTAATAATAATAAAAAAACAATTTTCTAACATGTTTGCGATTTTTTTAAAAAATATATTTTTGATTGCGATTTAATTGTAAGGTAATAAAATAAAAGTAATTTTTTAAAAAATACGTCCTTTCTCGTTTCCGCCTTAGCTGACTCATTCACTCTATTTCCTGTTTCGCAGAAATTCGGGGAAAATAAAAATGTCGGTGAGGAAAGAAAAAAAACACTTTAGAAATATAAAAAAACTGCGGAAGAGAAAAAAGAAAGGAAGAAGGAGAGAAAAGAAAAAAAATACTCAAGAAGAATAAAAATTGTTAGGTTGTGTCTTAGGTAGGCTTAATACTTAATAGCCAGCTATTTGGTCGTCTTTTAAAGTGTCGGCTAAAAAACGAAAAAAAAACATAATAAAATTTTTAAAAAAACGAAAAAAACAAGAAAAAAAAATATAAATAAACGAGTATAAAATACGAAAAATTAGCAAATGCCACCAAATACTTAAAATAAATCAAAATAAGGTGTCCTCGATCAAATGCTTTTTAGCCTGTACTAAAAAAAGCAATTAAGTATTCCGAATTAAGCCGACCAAGGACACGGCCTTATAGTGCGCACAAATTAAGCGTTTCAAACGCCAAATAATGCATTCCAAAATGGCCTCGCGAAAATTGGCAAAATTACCGTTTGGCGTTAGCAACCATTTAGGTTTGCCTTTTCATTACTTTTTTTTTTACTCTTCTTCGCTTTATAATATTATATAAAAATGTAATATAAATAACTTACTTTATAATCCTAAAAAAAAGGGAATATTTTAGAAATTAAAAAGAAATAAGAAAGGCAGACGATAATATAATTTGCAAAAGACAAATCCTTTTTTTATTAGAACTTATTTAAAATTTTGAATCGACGGACATTAATAAAAAAGACACAATTTAAACAAAGGGACGCGTTACGTTTCTTTTATTACAAAATTACGGCAAAACATAAACGCTCAATTTATGTGCGCTATTTAAGAATTAATGAAAATACAATAAATAGAACAGCGTTTATCTAAATTTATGATCCAATTGTGTGTCATCTATACCTGGGTCATTAAGCCCTGCCGACTTAACCTAAATAGTTTTATTTTCATTTTTTTCCCTTAAATATTTTTTTGTTTTTTTTAAAAAAAATAGATATATGGTATATAATTTTTAGATATGCATATATATATTTTTTTTATAATATTTATAATCAAAAATTTATCTTATTCTAATCTTTCAAATAATGAATTTTTTTTATTATTTTTTTCTGAGGGGTCAATTGATTATATATTTTTTTAGATTTATACGTGTCCCCCATGTTTTATGTATCTTGACATCATCACGGTTCGACCTTCCCAAGTGATTCGTCGTGAATTCTAAAATAAAAAATGTGTTTTGACTCGGCCAGTATAATTCTTTAACCGGCCCGTTAAAAAAAATTCCAAATTCTCTGTTTGCTTACGGAAAGTCGTAAAAGTGCAAAATTACCAGGTCGGCTCGAAATTTTTTTTTTGAGTTCAGACCAAAGAAAATACATTGCGCAAGTTATACTGCGCCATTTCTTTATCCCAACACGTTAACCAGATCTTTAGGACCTGTTGATCTCCGGTGAAATTAGTTTGACATTTGCTCGTAAGGAAAATGATTTTTAAAGATTCGTATCTTGGAAAGATTTTTTTTCAGAATGCTCGAACAGGATATTTGGATCGTAATCTTAAAATTCCGATAATTTTTGTAAAAAAATCGGGGATAAAAACCCGAACCGTTGATATTTCGATGAACCCAAACCCTCTTTTTAAAATTGAGGGTTCCACAGGGTCCATTTTTTTTTAATTTTTAAAAAAATAATAATATAATATATAAAACATGTAATTTACAATTTTCATTTATAAAAGATTTCCTATTTAAAACAATTGGCTTTGTTTTTATTCAAAAAAAAAAATCATTTTTTGAGATTATTTTTTTCGTGGAATTATTTTTGTTATATTTAAGAGTCGGCCATTTTTCGTAGAAATTTTGTTAAAATTTTACCCAGCGAAGCAGATTTTAAAAGTTTTTTTTTAGTGTATTGATGATGCTATTATATAAAAATATTTATTTTAAGGATATTGTTGTTTATGGATTATTAAATTAATATTAAGACACGGAGAAGTACAAAATCACGTGGTAAAATATTTTTTTTTAAAAAAATGCAACTTGCAAAAATTATCAAATATAATTTTAGATTAAATGATGCAATAAAAATAAATGGTTGTCTATTTATTTATAAAGTAAATTTAATAATCAAATATATATATATATATATATATTTCCTAGAATATGTGATACTTTCAATTATAATTGAATAAAAGGCCTAATCTAATATTTTCTTCCCACTGGGAACCAAGTGGTGATTAGGTATGCGTTATAGGAATCCATTACTATCTGCTGTGCAACCTTTATGTTCGGGACAATATAACATGTACCCAGTACCGACAATTCATTCATCGAGGCCTCATTTATAGTGAGCGCGATGTCGCTCAAGGGATGCGTAATTTACATAATACATCACGCTATGTTGTTTAGCGCTAATTATGCGCATCGCTTGAACGACAACGCGGTATTTCCCGCTTACTATAAACGAAGCCTAACATGAATTTTGGAATTTAAATCAGCTGGTGAGACCCCTCACAGGTTTCCCATATAAGAATATTTACACTGAAATTTAACATTTGAATCTTCAAATATTTAGATCTCGGAAATTATTCTTGAGAATGATAAAACAGCATTTTTTGATTAAATTTTCTCTAAAATCTTAAATTTATTTTGTAACTTGTAAATCTTTCATGATAAAATCGCGAATGCGCATTTGAAGATTTTTATAATACTCTGAATGAACTGATTTTTTTTTGATTCTATATCGGAAACCAAAATACTTTGTTAACCAGCAGCTGATTTGTATTGATTGACTTTTGAAGGAATAAATCGTCTAAATAAATATGTCATTGATTTAGGGATAGTGAAGGTTAACCAAAACAGGCTCAAAACTTCTCAACTATTCGAAAAAAAAATATCTCGAACAAAGTGGTCGTTAGCTTTTCAAACCTGACCAATTTGGGCTAAAAAAATTTACTATTTGGTTACCAAATTGAGTTGTCTTCAAACTAGTCCAGTTGGTATTTAGTATTTGGGGACATTTCTGTCGACTACTATAATTTTTTTTTTGATAATTCGATCGAATGACTAAGTGACTAATCATACGAGAATACCCTTTTTCCTAAATAATTTGTTTCTTATGCCAATTTTGATGTTTTAAGGCGTCAATTATCGGTTGATTAAATTCTATGTTACATTTATTATAAAGACAAAATGCCACCCCTATTACCCATCTTCGGCTCAAGGTGTACCCGAATATAGCGAGAACGACGAAGGAAAGGTGGACTTTGCCCTTCAATCGACCCAAATGGATTTTCCGGAAGTAGGAATCAAGGTCAGTCTTCTGAAAAGAGAAGTCACGCCGGATTTTATAGTCACGTTACTCGAGATGACGGATTCGAAGGTTTTTTTATATAAGGATTGTATAGTGTCAAGTCATGTCTCAAATTTTAATGAGTCAAGGAGAATAACTTCAATCCATTAACATATGTTTAATAATATCGACCGTATATTTCTTCTATCCATTAACTCCAAATAAATCGTTTGTAAAATTTACATTTTAACAGACGATAATTTCTAAAACATATTTTATTTTATTTTTTTTTAAAATTGTTTGGGATTAAAATGTGAACGCTTAAAAATTCTCGAACAAAATTATGTGATGAAAAATTATTTTTAGCCTTTTTTAAAGTCATCAGCTGATCACTTTTTTGTTTGCCATTCTCAGCTGTGATAGTTTAAACTAAACCATATTAAATGTTGCAATCAAAAAATAATATATAGTCCAACCTTAGCCGGCAAGTTTACCATTTCCATTACACATCTTGGCCCGATTTTGGGGTGCCATCGGAACCGGGGCAATTCCTAACATTTCTTTCCAGGATCAAAAGGATAGAAGCCGAATCGAGGGGTGGTAAATTCTCTTCGCTACCGCCCCCCTTCATTGGCACAGGTTTAGGCGGCGTGCATTAAATATTTTATGCAAATTTTTTTTCCCCCGAAAGAACATTCTAGCTTTTAACATGATTAGTTTGCCTGTCAGTAATAGGTGCAGTGATACATATATTAACCTGTTAGGAATAAATATTGAAATTTTCATGTTTTTTTATATTTAAAATTGAAAAAGATTACAATACTTCGCCCATAAAGAGCGAGCGTCCCTTAGTAGAGCCTAACCCTCTTAGAGACGATGCGTCGATCAAAATGACTATAACTCATACCGTTCACGCTTCGTCGAATAGCGACCCTTCCACGGCCAACGGTAAACTGTGATGTATATGCAAAATTATTTGAGAAAAGATGAACGAATATTTAGAAAAGGGAGGGGGGGGGGACTTACTCTAAAAACCAACCCCTTGCATTTTGTAGTAAACGCGATTTGCTCAAGCGATGCGAAATTAATCAGCGAATTCAAAAGCGTTAAGACTTATCGAAATATATATAAACAGCTGTCGCGATTCCATCATTTCGCTCCGTATTTTATAAAATCACAACCCATCATTGGCTTCTTTTTGTAAATTACGCAGCCTTTAATTTCGCGCCACTCGATGCAAATCGTGCTTATTATAAATACGGCGTAAGGCTCATTTTTTTAACGATACTTTTTTTATATAAAATAGTATAGAACAGATACTCGCCGAAGTCGAAATTTTTAAATCTGGCCAAAGCCTTCATTTTTTTAAATACGTCACAAGTCCACTGAAATTCACTACGAATTTTCAAGCCGAAGGAAATCTGATAACATTGATCCCAAATTCCTCCAAGAAAATTTGCGGTTAATTTTAGTGAGTTAGGACGCGGTATAAATAAAAGCGGTTTTAACTGGCCCGCCCCCTTGCTTTTTTTTTTGGAAATATATTTTGAACATTTTACAACCTGGTTTAAATGGCGGTAAATGAAGGCTGAACTATCCATAGGCCATCCTTTTATTTTATTATTTTTTTTGGAAATTTATTTTGGACCTGACCTGAACTGTTAATCCCGCGGCGAGCGTCTTCCAGAAATATAAGATAACTCTGATCATTGTTTGCGAGAAACAGTAGTTTTAAAGTAGGAATATTTTTTTTGATCATTTGACCAACTCTGTCTAATTCGTCGTTTATTTCAGCCATTAGGAACGACGGAATATCGGCTGTCAGTTCCGCCTCGCGTCATAACGGGAACGACCAATACGATAAAAATTTGGCCGAGAATGCCCCTATAGTCATACATTGCAGCGCGGGGATAGGTAGGACCGGCACTTATTGCCTGATCGATTACGTTCTCAATTTGCTCAACGTGAGTTTGAAATTTAAAAAATAAAAAAAATTAAGGTATGGAGGAAAAGAAGAAATAGGGGGAGGAAATAAGGATTATGATTTTTAAATTTAAAAAAAATATAAAATCCTTGTTATCTTTCTCAGTTAAACTATCGCCACTCTCCCTACGATCTAAATCCCAACTTTCGCGGGAAGAATGACTCATCTCAAGGGGCTATCGGTTCCACTACTCATTCCCCGACTAAAATAGGTTTCATATTCGAACATTCAAAAGAATATTCTCGAATTTACTTTGCAATATTTTGAAAATCAGCTGATTTGTGTTTTTAAAAAAAATAAGTTGTGTCTTCTCAATTAATAATGCGTATATTTTTTTTAGACATTCCTGCTATCCTAGTTGAGATGAGGCGATACCGTGCCGGGTTAGTTCAAACAGCTGATCAATTACGCTTCGCCTATGCCGTTATTTTGAAAGCCATCTCGGATACTCTTCCAAATAATTCGCCCAATTCTGTCGATCATTCACTCTACAGTTCCGACTCTTCAGACAGAGCTGATACCAATTTTTCCCACCGAAGTAGTGGCATAAATTGTGATTCGTACGGAGGGGAAATGGGATTCGAAAATAGTTACCGACTTCCAGGTTCCGTCATCAACGATATCCATAAAAATGATGGATCACATGAGAGAGCCCTTAATCAAGACGTCAATCAATCACACGCAATTTCATGTGGCCGCCCCCATGACGCGAACGCCGATATTCGCATGAGCTTTGGTTATCGAGACGAAAACGAAACTACCAAATGTTATTTTTTTATAAATTTTATTCATTCAACCATTTTTTCTTTCTTATTACGCAAGAAGATAAATGTCACAGCATTTTGAATCTTTAAAAGCAGAATTAGGTGCTAATACTATAAATTCTATATAACGCCATAAATCAATTCTTCCATATTATAAGGATTTAAATGTTTGGAAAATAATTTATAATAATAATTAATAACTATTTTTGGATATTATATTGATTTGACCCTTTTTAAATAACAATGGGTCGTTTAAACAACATAGATTGGTTATTAGTATAGTTAAGGTAATTACTATATTTGCCGGTTTTAAAAAAAGCCAACAACTATCACTTTGACCTCAGGGGTTTTTCTTAAAATGATGTTCAAATTTGAAAGAAACTAATACGAAATAAAACGCCTTAATGTTAATAGGATTTTCTCCTGGAGGCGCCTAAAGATTGAGCCGACATTTAGCCCATTATAGTGCGCAGGCGCACTAATTGAGCGTTTACGTTTTTGCCGTAATTTTTAAATTAATAAAAACGTAACGCGTTTCTTGTTTAAATTTAAGTTTGTCTTTTTTTTTATTAATATCCGTCGATTCAACGTTTTTTAAAATGGTTGCTAATGCCAAACGATAATTTTACCAATTTTGCACGAGGCCATTTAAAATGCATTTTGCGTTTGTGATTTTTGGAAAGCCTCTATGGCCTTTTTGGCAAGAGCTTCGCTTACTGATCCCATGATCGTGGGTTCGAATCCCGGGAATGGTCATGTTTTTTTTGTTAATCTAACTTGGTGGTTCCATCCTTAGGGGAATGATATGTAGAAGTATAATATATTAAATAATAAGGGCCTTTTTACATTTTAATAAATTTTGGTCGGTATTTAGCAAATTAGGTTTGGTATTTAGAATATTTCCATTCATTCACTTGGTAGTTAGCATCAATAACACAATTTGTGCCCAATATTACCTAACTATAGTTATTAGATCCAAGTATTAACGAATAACTATTTTTATTATTCGCAAAAGTGGTATTTAATATAAATTTGAGTGTCAAAAAAAATAACTTCTTTATACTTAACTTGATAATAAAATTATCCATCGAAATCTAAAACTTTTTAAAATACGTGATTAGAGTTTAACAATTACATCCATTTTTTTACGAATTTTGGAGAGCGTAACAAATTTCCCATTCGTATCATCGATATTTATATTGATAAATTTAAAGCCATTTATAATTCGTTCAAAATGTTTGAACTTGATTGTATACCTAAATGCCATAACTATAAAATATTAATATTTTTTGTCATTAAACAATAAAAAATTAAACAAAAGGTTATAAAATATTAATTTTTTAATAAACAGCTAAAATTATTTTTTAAATTTGATTTTCCAAAAAAAAAAAAATTTATTTAAAGTGAAGCAAACTACTAAAAATAAACTAAAATAAACCCAAATATCTATTTGAAGCCATGATAAATATTATAATTAAATTTTAAAAATAATTTTTCAAAACATTCCTGAAACGTTCCCGAGAAGTCACCATTCCCGTTTTTTTCGAAAGTTTCATTTCCGGAAACCTAAATAAATATTTAGTAATAGTTTTTATTCATGTTTAAAAATCTCCTGATTGGTCGAAACTTTTAAACACTAATATTTTTTATTTTATTATTTATATGCAGCACCTAAAAATAGTAACAAACCCGATGACACGTTGATGACCTCCATATCGAACGCAGACGATAATGCCAATTCCGATTATAACCCTTTATCCCACATGGAAACTGCTTTGTGAATGTGATACAAAAAAAATAATTAACGATTTTACATATATAAAATTTACACATTTTTTTTTTTAGAAAAAATGCAAAAAAATATGAAAACGGAAATATAAATTATGATTATTATGTAATTTATATGTTATCTTATCATTATTGTATGATTGTAACTATTTAAATTAATCTCCTTGTTTGTGAATCTTATCAATTTTTGCAGACTTGAAAATGACTTTTGCCTATTTAGTTTAAATTACACTACGAAAATAATATATGTTATTATGTTTATTATTTCGTCTCCCCCATATAATTTACTTAAAATTGAGATAAACATTATAAAGTATATATATATATTAATTTTATTTTTATTTAAATAATCACGATTATCTCGGCGCCTCACTCGTGATATATAGTAACCAATCAAGCATTCGGGATTATATTTCCCGCCTTGATTATTTATTTTTTTAAAATTGACAAATTGTAACTTTTAAATTTTTTTTTATTTTCCTTTTCCACAATCAAGATCTTATAGATTCGGATCAAATAAATTATATTTTATTTAGCTAAATTCAAAAATAATGTTTTATTTGTCAACTATCTTCCCAAAAAAAAAAATTATATATTTATTTACATTACTAAAAAAAAATATAAATAATTTATATAAATTCCTAAAATCCACAGTTTATAACCATTGTACTATTATTAAAATATTTTGGCAAATAAAAGAATAATTGTTAATTTTTATGTGACACATATTCATGCTTTCCAACAACCTTTAATACAGGCTGTGAACCCTTCTAACAAAAGTGTTCGCGTTTGGGTTCTGGTTCAGCGAAATAGGTTTGGATTCCGGTTGGTTCAGGGTTCGTGGTCCAGAAAACGAATGGCTTATAAAATTTAGCATAGATAACAGAAAAATTAGTTTTTTTTTATAAACTTTACTTTACTATATGTAGCCCTTGGCCTTACCATAAAAATAAAAAATAAGCGAATTATCACGATACCTTTCAAAAATAGATGTGTTAAAATTGAAATATCGATCTTTAATGCCTAACTTTTGACAGTGCATTGCAACTTGCATTTAATAAAGCTTTTTGACTTGGAATTACGTTCTTTTCCTTGGTTTTACTTTTAATTTAAATAATCTAATTCTAAAAATAATGAACAGGCTTGTTAATCGATCCTTTTAAAATAATAATTTTTCCAAATTATTATATTTAAACAACCACGTTTGTATGTGTTTACCTTTACTAAACAAGCTCTCCACAGGAGCGCTTGATGGTAACAATGTGTTATATTCAATAAAGTTTTTTTAAAATTAACGAATCCGAGAAAATTGACAAATTTAGGATCGTATCCAGGATCGGCGATCTTTTAATTCGATCCTTTAACAGATAATGAATAACCTCACCCAACTTTACCCATATTAATATATAGTTTGAAAATTTTCCTTTGGCCCTTCATTATTGGTGGAAATGTTTATTTTTTCGTTTTCTCTTTATTTTGTCTAGTGTTGTTAAACGGCTCCTGAAGATTTTGCTCATAGAAGGAACATAGGTCTAGACATATATTATCGAAATCTAGACAATATTTTTCTGGCTAAAATATTGAGTTCACCGTTTTTAAGAATCGGATCAAATCCAGTCGTTTAACAACACTAATTTTGTCAATAATTTTTTTAATTTTTGTTGTTTTTTTTATTAAAAAACAGTTTTTTAAAATTTTGTTCTTTTCGATCTCTATGTGTTACCAATTAAATTTTTGGATGTTGCGACTTATATGTAATATAGTTCATTAGGGTCCAAATATAAAATAATAGTAAATATTATTTGTTTAATTATTGAAAAATAATTAAAAGAAATTAGAGAGTCCCTCAAAACTTTTGGAAGCAATATACAAACATTATATTGTGTGGTAAAGAGTTAGAGGTGGAATCTTCATTTTGCAAAATCAAGTTTAATATACTTACATTTATCAGATTAGGCCTGTTATTATCTTGAAGATTTAAATGATTTAAAAAGGTAGTTTTATTTCTGTCGCATATAACATAATTCAATAAATATATTTATAAGAAAATAAATTATTTTTATTTTTTATGGTGTCAATATACGAAACGATTTATTGAGTCTAAACGGTCTTTTGCCATTCAACTATAATACTTCAGTGTAAAATATCTTCAAAATATAAAATTAATTAAATTTTAGCGTTTATACTAGTTTAAAATTTTTTTACTAAAATCTTTAGCTTTTTAACCCATTAATGGTCAAGATTTTTCTAGTGGATAAAAATGCTCAATTTTTTCAAATTATATTGATTAATGCTCAAATTATATTGATTAATGCTCAAATATGATATTCTAAAAAAATCAGCCGAAAAAAATAAACCTAAATAGAAAATCTAACCTGGTACATATCTGAACCGTTAACCATTAATAGGTAAAGATAAAAATTATATATAATATTATAAGATCAAAAAACAATAGAAATATTTATACTTTTTTTTGTAATTTATGATGAAAACGAGAAAATGTTTATATATTATGAAAATCCTTGAAACATTTAGTATGAAGTGTGATTTGACATGTTTGGCACATATATTTTGAGTGCGTATGGCAATATCTGCATCTACGTCTTTTTCCATCTTTAATTTTGGATAAATAATTTCCAATTGAATCAGTAGGGTTTTAGCTCTGTAATGCAAACTGGTTTGCGTGCCCTGTAATTAAATTTTTTTTCTATTTTTATTTGTGTTCGAAGGAAGTAGTAACTTCTCGCCTAAATACAAGCAGTCTCTTTTTTTCATCTCGATTCATGAATTTCCAAATTTTTCACGAATTTACCAAAGCTACATCAATAAAAATGATGGTATATATGGGATTATCACACCCCATGTGTTTGTTATAAGCAGTGATCATATTTGGTTGAGGAATTTTTATTTAAGAAGATATTTTCTTGGAATACCTCGTCACCACCGTATTATAATTCCAACGAACTATAAATATTTCGTTTAATTTTTCGAACCTATAATCATAATATCCTCTTTCTTTTTTTCTACAGCATTTATAGATTCAACTAGACAATGCCATTATATTATCCCTCACAGTTCCAGTTGTAAAATATCCCATTTGTTTTAAGTATGATAAAAGTTTAATTGAGGTATGGTTTTGTAAGGCCTAACTTTATAAAATCTATCATGTATATGTTTTTAGTATTGTCTGTCAAATGAATATTATATTTCAGATTTAGTAATTTTAATTGGGTCATTGTATTCCGGATTATTAGAATAGAAATATCACTATTATTAGACAATACATCATTTACTGTGAGAACGAATGATATCCAGTAAATAAATGAATACCAATAAATCTCATAATATCTGGGATGGTTATACATTATTAGATCTATTCATTTGTTTTGCATAAATATTACTTTGATCTATAATAGGGAATATAAGTCTTCCTCGAAAATTAAAAAATATGTCTGATGGATTTTTACCATGCAAATTGTCTTCAAGTTTTATTATATCTTCTTTTCCCCATTGAAAGGGATTGTAGAATATAACATAACGTGTCTGTTTTCTCTATTTTAAATGGCGAGAAATTACAGAATAGCTTCTTTTGTAGTAGATGGTTCTGGAATTTCGTCATAAATTAAATTAGGAATCTCCAATTCACCAGCAGTATCTGAAGGTAAACTCCGTCATTTGTTGAGTCATTTTAGAAACGATTCATTTAAAAATTTTAATTAAAAATTAAAAAATTTATTTTATAGAATATTGATTTTTTAATTATTCATGTATTATTTTGATAATTTTGATTGAATAAAACAGGTGCATAAGAAAAAAAATGTTCAGCAAGGAAGAGGGTTAATTTAAAATTTTTATGAATAATTTTAATTTTAGAATATTTATGACCGAATATTTGCGAATAATTTCATATAATTAGGTCGAAGTAAAAAATTATAAAATAAACATATTATTCGATTCTCGGGGGGCTCAAAACTATTTTCAAAAGTAGGGACATAAAAAAATTTTTTCATATTTTTCTTTTCCAGTTTTGAGGTACAATGTCTAAACTATATAAAAACCTTTTTTATTATTTTTTAAATAAAAACTACTATATTTAAAAATGATATAAAGGAGGTGGTGTATATATGCACCGTTAACCAGTAATGGGTTAAAAACATAATATAAATAAGATAACATATATCTTATTTGATAAATGTCACTATGACGTGACATATAACAGGATAATCTTCTGAAAGATAAATATAGTCATTTTTTTCTCCAAATGGCAAACCAAACAATAGTTAAAGATGAATATAATGCTTTAGAATACTTTATAAGAGTTTACTCTCACAAACCCTTATCGCAATACAAAGGTAATTTATCATATACACTTAAATTATTTATTTTGGCTGATAATGATTTTAGCAGAATATTTTTAAACTTGTCTTATTATATACTCATTTATGTCTCTAAATATAATACAAATACAAAAGAAAGAAAAAAAAAATTCATAGAGAAATATACTAGGATAATATAAAAATGCACACAATTTATTTATTATTTCTAAATAATAATGGGGGAAGGGGGGTTCTATGAAATCCCTCATTTGGGATCAAAATTTGGATCTTAGTTTAACCTTAAATAAACACTATTCTACAATTTAAAGGTTTTTATAGTGAACCCTAAAAAGCTGATAAAAAATAATTAATTTTCTATATTCTGAATATAAGTTGTAATTAATTGTGAAATTTTATTTAAAATGGTTTTGTATATGTTGTAATGTATATTTTATTTGATAAAGTGATTTATTTTAACATGTATTAATTTTTATGTAAATGACTGATGATATTTATTACATTAACAAAAGGTCAATCACCATTAAGTCTTTAGGACCAGTTATACAGGATAGCCTTACAGAAACAGAGAATGCAGATAACTGACAATACAATTATTATTGGTTCTGACTCACAACAATCAAGTCATATTGAATCAAAAGAGGAATTGGACACGTTATCACCGGAGCAATATGCTCAACTTTCTAAAGAGGAAAAGAGGAATTATTTAACTGATCACGGGTTCTCAAATGAAAAGTTCACTGAAATGTGTGAACCAAATATTGACACATATCCTACTTTGAAATTAAAACCTAATAAAATTGGCGGATCCATGAGACCACCACCTGGGGATATAAAACTTGAAAAACTTGAGGGTGCATGTTCTGAATGTTATACAATTGACTCCGAAATTAAAGATCATTGGATGAATATAAATAGTATGCCACCAGAGCTATTTCAACCTATCATGAAAATTTGGAGAGATGATCAATGGGATCATTTAATTGATCCACCAGAATGGGTTACAGGATTAATGTATTCCTTATGTTTTTTACCAGGGACATCTAATTCAAAAAAGGCGATTATGTTAAGAGTAGCATGCACTAATTTAGATATTGCAAGACTACGTTCATTTGCGCAAACGAAAAATGGGCGATGAACTAGTAAAATTACTTCGTAATAGTGAACTTCTGCATTTTTCCATAGCTAATTTAGAACACAGCTTAACATCAATAGTTAATACACATATGGATTTTCTTAATAATTTATCAATCTTATTTAATCAAACTGCTATGCAGATGGAAAAAATAAGTGGACAAAAGGTAACTAACAAATTGGATGTAGATTCAGGAACTCTTTTGCTAGATCAAGTCGTTAAAGTAGGGATCAGAGATAAACCAATATCTGTACCTCTTATAGAAGAAAAACCTAAAACGAATATAATAAAAGTTATGATGGCAAAAACTACATCAATTAACGGATCAATAGTACCTGATATACCTTAACTCTTTATCCACCTTGTTCACTTCGAAGGATTTATAAAAAAAAATATAAAGAGAAAGTTAACAAAATTTTACATCAGAGTATCGCCTCCAATAAAATATATACGTTAAATTAAATAAAATATCAATAATTATATCTGAATCCCCATTAATTATAAAACAATGTAGATTCTTTTATTCAATTTATGAATATTTGTTTATTCTTTTCATATTCGTTAAATGTGAAAATATATTGACTTAATTCTGAAATAAATTTAAAATTATTATAATTAATGTCTAAATTTAAAAAAGAACCTCTAATTATTTTATTTTGCCTATATTTGAATAAATATCAATATTTTGATAATAAGAAAATTCAGATTTTATGTAATTTAATTTTAGTTTATAAAATTTTGCTTTTAATTCTAGGTTTAAAATAAAATATTTCAAATAAATTGAGGAAATATTGATAACATTATTTTTAGTAAATCCAATAAAGCTTTAACAATAGTTTATTCATTAATTTTACAGAAAAATAGATGCTTAATTAAAATAAAAAAATTAAGTTCATGGCAAGATTGTCTGAAATTCATAGTGTAGTTCCAAACATGAAAAACATATTTCCGGTTAAATCCAATTTTTTAATTTATTCAAGGTTGAAAAAATAACAAATTGATGATAAAATATACCATTTTCATGTTAATTAAATTAAAATAAAATTATACAATTAACAACAACTATTGTTAATATATGTAAAATAAACAATTTAAAGATAATGTAATTTTTTTTTCTCTTTAGCTTTCACCTTTTTTGGTGATAATCTACTTCAACATCTCTCTCCACTTTATGTTATTCATGCAATCTTTTTTATCTAATTTATACTTCTTTATATTGGCTCTAACTTTATGGCACCATTGAAGTTTTGGCCTTCCTCTTTTACGTTTGCCCATCACTTCCGAACTCTCAACCTTATTTCCTATTTAGTTCAAAGGCCTTCTCATTGTGTTCCCATACCATCTAAGTCTGTTTACCATTAACTTAGTCTTATTGGGCACTACCTTTAAACTATTTAGTATTCTTGTACTGTGCACTTTATCCTTTCTTGTTACCCCAGCAATCATCCTCAGCATTCTCATCTCCATAGTTTGTAGACTTCTCTCGTCTGATTCTTTGGTTGGCCATGTTTCCGAACTATTTAGAAAGTTGGTTGTACTATAGAACTGTAAATTTTTCTTTTTAATTTGTGTTAGATTCTTTTGTCAAATAGCACTCCAGATAAAGATCTCCACTTTAACCACCCTTGATTAATTTTACTCTTTATCTCTTTTTCTATTGTGCCGTTTGTTTGTATAGTGAAGCCCAAATATTTGCAGCTTTCATTTGCCGATATCTGCCATTCATTTATATCAATACTCTCTGTTTCATTTCCTATCACCATATACTCCGTCTTTTCTCTATTTACTTTTAGTTCGTAAGATATTAAAAAAAAATACTTAAAGATAATGTAATATCAAAAAAAAAAATAGTAAACAATTATTACTACACGAAAATTATATATATATATTTACAAAAGATATGTTTTTGCATGTATTCAAATGGGGAATCACTTCTTGCGCGTTGGTACATATCATAGCTTGGCTCATATCGCTACTGCAAATGCGCCATGTTAAATACTGGAAAATTACGTACCCACTCTTATCCATAGGGGTTTTCATCAATTTCCTCATATCCGCCATATTTATCTTCGTTACTTGTAAGCTTAACTTTTGCGACTATTTATTATAAACAGGATCGATTTTTTTATTGAGATGGAATCTTGATTTTTTTGACAATTTAAATTGATTAAAGATACTTAAATCCTCAAACGTGGAAAACTTAATGTTACAATAGTAAACCTTAGTGAAAGTTAAAACGGACCGGAAATGGATAATGAAATAACCGGACATGCAAATCGATCCGTTATTTGGCCATGACCGCATCTTCGACTTTATATAATTCCTAATTATCCTTTTATTTTTATGTATTTTTAAAGCTCTCTTCATATCTCTCATATTCGATTTGGGATCTTTCGATATGCCAGGCTTTTACGCGCTCGCTCTTGGGTTGGCTCAGACTATAATCCTCCTTTTTTTCGCCTTTTCGCATATATTAGCGACCCTTTGATACGCTTTCCTCGAGCGTTATCTTATAACGTGAAGGGACCAATAAAAGAAATTGACGTCATAGCTGTTGTATCTGTCGATTTGTAATTGACATTTATGGACGTTTTTCAATATTTTGTTTCGAGATAAAAGTTGTTTTTGTGTTCCTTTGTTTTAAAGGAAAATGGAGTTTATTATATGTATAAATGTTATGAAAATATATTCGATTGTAATTATAAGATGTTATAAAATATATTTTACAGTTTAGATGGATCTTATAATAATTAAATATTAAAAGTTTATAAATATATACATGACAATAGATAGCTGTGATAATTTTTCCTCACTTAATTCATCTATCCATACATTTAAAGTTTGGCAAGATAAAACTCAACTTTGGTTCTCGCGATTTACTATATTTCTTATCTTTTTAAATTCGCGCTTAATTAAAATTACCAATTTAGATTCTTACATAGTGGCCCATCAATTTCTGAGCGATGGATGCAGAATACCCCCCTCCCTACCCCCATAAAAAATAATACCCTCCTTCAAAAAAAAAACAATTAAAAATTTTTTGACTCCCAAACCTCAAATATGAATTTCAAAAAATAATTTTTTTTTTGTATCAAATCCTTAAAATATAATATAAATGTAATTAAAAATATTTTTTTTTAAAAAATGAATAACTTAGACAAATCAAGGGAAAGAGATAGGGAAATAATTTATAATTTCATCAAAATTTAATTGATATAAATAAATTTTCTAGAATCTTTTATGATACTTCGAATCTTGTTTTAATTTTACTCATGACCCTTTAGGCAATATATGAGGTAGTAGGAATCAGGGTTGTGTATTTGTCCGGTGAAAAATGAATCTGTCAATGGACCGATATTTGAGGCCTGTCAAATATAATCAAAAGCGATAAAAAATGTTTTTTAATTTAATAAATATTTTTTTTAAATTCATTGGCATTAATAATAACTAATGTTTAGGTATTTAGCGAAGCCAGAATCCTTTAAGAAAATATTCTTGTCTATAAAAATAAAAATTCCTGATATTATAGGCAGAGTTGTTCCTTTTTAAAAGTAGCTAGCTCCCGCTAATACATTTTTAAAAGGAGATAGCCCCCGCTCCAAGTAATGTGGAGCACCACTCCATAACCTCTCCTTTGATTTTCATTTTTTTTAGAAGATATACGAAACAAAATCATATTTTTTTTTTATCAAAAAGCTTTATTTATATTAAATGATCTATCAAAATATTTATAACCTTAGCTTTTAAAGGTTATCAATTTTCTAAATTAGAATCTAACAAATATCCACGCCTCTCCCCTAAGACCTCCTTTGCAATACTAGGCGCTCCACAGGAGTAGGGGTGGGACCAATACCAATATAATATTGGTTTTGAAATATTGTTTAAATACAATTTTAACCAATACCAATATTAATAATTTAAAATAGATAAATACATAAAATTATTTGGTTTTATCGTGGATAATTATATCGTGGTATATTTTTTTACTTTCATTGATAAACATATTACATCTGTTATTTCTTCCAAATATTCCTGTGATATCAATATTGGTGTTATTTATAATTATATTTTTTTATTATTATGGAAGTAAGTTTTCTATATGATATCTATCAATTTTATCTATTTATTCATTTAGGATATTATAATGAATGAAAACCAAATCGAGTTAATAAATATAGATAATGATGTTGATACTAATAATAATAGCGATAATGAACAAGAAGAATCAACGATATCTAATAAAAGAAGAAATACAGCAAAAATCTGGGAATTTTATACTAGTTGTGATAACAAAAAAAAGGCTATTTGTAAAAAATGTAAAAAAATATTATCTATTCCCAATTTTGGAACCTCAGGATTATGGACACATCTTAAATCCATCCACCCAACTTTATATAAGAAATGTGAACAAATAAATAATGTCAGTAAAAAAATTAACGCCATAAAATCATTTTTAATTAATAATGTAAATAGCTAATTTAAATAATTTAATTATGGACTTTTTTATTCAAAATAATTTAGCCTTTTCAATGGTTGAAAATGAGTCATTTAAAAATTTAATAAGCTTTTGCAACCCCTCATTAACATTAATTTCTAGAAAAACACTTAAAAAAGAAATTATGAAACATTATCATAGTTCTTTTATCAATTTAAAATCTGTACTTTCTAAAATTACTTCTAAATTTTCTTTAACAATGGACATTTGATCCTCTCCAAATAAAATACCCTTTATGGGCATAACCATTCATTATATTGATAATGATTTTAAATTAATTAATCATTTATTAGATTTTATTCCTTTTAAATCAGCACATAATACTATTAATATTTATAATATTTTTAATTCTGTATTAAAAGTAAAATTTGAAATTGATTTTTTTTTGTATTACATTAGATAATGCTAGTAATAATTTAGCATTTTTAAAAATTTTAAAACTAAAAGACAATTTTGATAATGTGTGCAAATGTTTTTGCCATATTATCCATTTGTCTATCATGGCTGCATTGGAACCTCTAAATCCAACTTTAAAAAAAATAAGAAATTTTTAAAAAAATTTTAAACTTTCTATATCTAAATTTAATAAATTTGAAAAAATATATCTTGAAAAAAATCAAAATTTAAAATTTCCTCACCCTATTTTGGATATACCAACACGTGGAATTCAACGTACCAAATGCTCGAAAGGGCTATATTTCTCAAACCTTATCTCACAATATATACCAATCATCAACAAAATACTAATGAAGAATATTATATTAGTGCCTTAGCTTGGAATAATATTGAAATATACCGAGAATTTTTAGAACCATTTAATTTTGCTACAGAGATGGCCTCATGTGCTAATACTCCATATAATAATAATCCTAATGCTATTTTAAAGACAGCTTCATTAGCTGCCTTGACAAAACTTAATAAATACTATAATTTTAATAAACACCTATATATTATTTCAACAATGATTGACCCAAGGTTTAAACTATCAAGTCACTTATTAAAGCATAATAGTATAGAAACTCTTATTGGATGTCTAAGCAAATATGTGGATGAAGTCACAATTTGTAATGATACAAATCCATTAGACTGGTGGAAATTAAATAAAAATAGATATCCAATATTATCAAAAATTGCCAGAGATTATCTTGCAATTCCAGCTTCTTCATCTAGCTCTGAAAGGGCTTTTTCAGAAGGAAGGTATCTTATAACAGATCAACGTTGTTCACTAGATGAGCATACTATCCAAGCTTGCCTGTGCTTAAAAAGTTGGATGCGCATGAAGGATTCTTCTTAAATACATAAATTTTTTTCTTTATAATACAATGTTTTGCACTATATTTTATATAAATAGACAATTATGTTACATTTTTAGTGTATTCATTTTGCTATATTCTTTGTGCTAAATAAAAAGTTTCAAAATATACGTTTATTATTTGATTGGTTTGTTGATTTCAAAAATATATTAGTTTAAAAAAAGAATTTGGATTTAGTAAAATTTTGGGAGTTGGTTCTTAGCCCTGTTTTTATGGTAATGCTTCATGATTTTTTTTTCCATGTTTATTTAAAACTAGAAATTAAGAGTTTTATAATCACTATTTCTATTCTTTTAATTAGTAATTTGAATTTAAACCAATACCAATATAAACCAATATATACCAATATAAACCAATACCAATAGCAAAACCAATACAAGAAATAGAAAATATTGTTTAAACCAATACCAATATTTTAGACCCAATACCAATACCAATACAATATTTTGTTTATATTGGGTTTTTAATATTGGTTCCCAGCCCTACACAGGAGCACTAGGGGGAAGTGGGGTATTGTATTTTATAATGATATTTTTTTAATTCAGGGAATCTATCAAAAATAGTAATTTTAATTTTGGTATCAATATTTAAAAAATATTTGTCCAATATATTATCTTCCTGATGATCAATTTCATGGAAAACAAAAAAATCTTCCAAATCATTTTGTATTTTAAAAGAAAGATTTTTTACTTTTATATGCTTTTTTATTGAAGCTGCTCTTTTGAAAATCAAATAGCTTTATTTAAACACAAGGCATTTTGCCCCTAACTTTGTTTGATCATTTGGATCAACATCTTTTAGAAGTTTAAAATATTTTTTGTTTGATGGAATGGAGATTTCTTCATCTATGATCTCTAAATCCATAATATCGATAACAATTTTTTTATTATATATCTATAAAATGAATATGACTTACAAGATTTTCCAAAAAAATTTTCAATATAAAAAGGAAAAACTTGATGTTTAATATTTAAAATGATTAGATGAAAAACCAATATATAACTCGGATAAACATTTAATAATGGATAAATTTAAATAAAACAAAATTTCATTTTTATTGAATTAGTATTAATATTTAACAGATAGTATTAATATTATACATTACATGCTATTTTGCTTCTGAAATTAATTATATCACTTAAAATATTTTGGTGCAGAATGTCATTTTGCCTGGAATTTTTCTCGTTCCACTCCAGCCCTAAATAGAGCTAGTTCCCGCTCCTCAGTTTTAAATAAAGATGGGCGTTCCAGATGTTTTTGATAAAAATGTAGTGGCGCTCCAGGAACGCCTCTTAACAACTCTGAAAAAAAAATTTCGGACACTTTTTGTACATGACATTTCTGTTTGGGATCCCAATCTGTTTCATCTATCCTGTATCAGATATTTCAAATATTTATTTAGTAGATTCGAATCTTTAAAGAGACATCCTCTCTTTTTTTTCAAAAAAGAATGGCCCTATACAAAAATTATAGTGCGTTACTTTAACACTGTTGGGTAGCAAAAATATATTTCTTTTTTTTTTCCACTGTATTAGATCAATGATATATAATAGTACCTAGGACTGACGATGCATTCATTCATAATACATTTGATAAGCGTCGTTGAATGCTAATCAGCTGGACCCGCCATTTTGGTAACCCATATAGTAATTATTCTCATGTTTAAAACTACTATTAAATTGATAACTTACTTCTTTATTATCTCGATGATCAGCGATTTTTAATGTTTGCGTCAGACATAGGAATTTGAATTGGTCTCTCTTTTAAAATGTTTAATAATAATATGGGTAATCAAAATGGCGTCCCCAGCTATTTTCATTGATGTATGCACTTTTAATAAAGCATCGTCTAGATATTATTATATGTCATTGTATTCAAAATTTATGACCGAATTTCGATAAGGTAACTAGTTTTATTTAATTATTAGTATACTTTCGAAAGACTAAATTTAAATAATAAAACTCATTCCTATGTTAGTTATCATTGCTTATAAAGATGGGTTAAAAATACCACCCCCCCCCCCTTCCCCTCGACTATGGTAAAAAAAAAGTATAGTAAAATACATGATATCTAATTGATATCTAGACGAAAAATGGATACATAAAATATCCTTTACTCTTTCTACGAAACAATTTGACTACACATTTTTTTCTTCTTCAATATCTTCCATAATTTACTTCTCTTTTCTATAAAATCTATCATGTTTTCTTTCCATACTTTTTATAAAATAAAAAAGCTACCTCTCGATTTATCAAGACTCATATTCTAAGATTGCACTAATTTAATAGCTTAAAATTAAAACTAAAATGCTTCAAAAAAAATTTTTTTTTTAAACTTCGAGAATAAATACTCAACGTTTAGAAAATACTGAATTTCATGTCTGGAATTATTGATTAGTGCGCAGATATGAAATGGAATTGTCATTATTTTATATGGAACATTTTGAACAAAATATCGGATTGGGTGATTTTTTGACAAGGCGTATTTTAGTTGCCATTAAATATCGTAATAAAAAAACGCGAACCAATAAGTCCAGATTATAATGCGTATAAATATGGAAGTGGTGGGGGGTCAATCAAAGTCAGTTTTAAAATATTATAAATCGTCAAATTATGACAAATCATATTAACGAATATTAAACTAGTAGAATGTTTGGATCTTTAAAAAAATAAATTTTATTAATTAATTCTAGATTATTAAATTATTTAAAAAACAATATTATAACGAATTAATTTTAAAAAATTATTACAAAATTAAAATATGCAAAAAAATTATATAAAACATTTGCAATTGCAGGATAAATTTTTTTTAAAAAAAATAAATCATTAATTAAAATAGATCGTTCAAAATTTGTAGATAAAGCTTGAGTTTATTTTCCATCATTGTACGACTTGATCAGTATAATGTGTCCATGTCTCATTGTTTTCTTAAATTATAGATTGTAATCTTATAAAACGATAATATTGTATAACCTTATTTCATAAAAAATATAAAGCGATTATATGAAAGTCAATTTATTTAGATAGGATTGGTTTAGTTAACTTTCCCCATAAATCCCCAGGCTTATATAATATTATTTTTCAAAACATGATTAAACCATTTTTTCAAAATTCGTATTAGATTTGAAATTCTTGAATAAGAATAACCAATTACTCTAATCACAAATTTTGAAAAAGAGAGAAAGAAATATTAGTATTATAAATAAAAAGATTAAAATTTTATTCATATTATTGTAATTATTTTTGAAATCAATGAGAACTACCCAGTGATGTCATATGAGAAGGGTTATCAAAGTCTAGGACTCCATCAAAATTTTTATTTGCATAGTCGTAATTATAATCCGTATATCCATAATCGTCATTAACATACCGCGCATCAGGTACCGCGTCAGAATATCCACTAGTCTGAAACTATAACAGAAATTTATAATTACAATTACTTTTTTATTGGTTATTAAATAAAGAATGATTTTTAAAAAAAATTCCCTGAAAATGATATTTATTATAGCTTTTCAGAGTTGTTAAAAGATTATATTTTAAATTAATCTAGATATTACATATATAGATTTTCTAAAAATGGATCAAGATACGGATACATTGTCTAAAAAACGTAACTAGATAAAGATGCAGTTTTTATTATACTTATGTAAGATGTGCATGTATAATTTAGGTTTCTAATTTAAAATATAAATTTTCGATAATAGGTAAAAGATTTATTGAGCTGAAGCTGATATCATCACGTCGATACAAATAGATAATTAAAACAATGATGGTCAGTAATAAATTATAAAAAATATATAAGTAATTATAAAACAATTGTTAGATTTTAGTACTCAAAATCAATTTATTTAGCATTAAGGGAGTATAATATAATCATAAAATATATTATAAAAATATTATTTAAAATTGAGGAGTGTCTTATAAACTTATATCAATATTTATATCACCAAATTGTACCCAAAAAATCTAAATATTAAATTACTTGATTTTTTTTCAGAGATATGCTTAAATTTTTATATAGTTCTATGTGTTTACCTCATTTGCAGGGGCATCATAAGAATAGGCTTCATTCACATTGCCAGAATATTCGTTTTTCTGAACGTAAATGTGTCATAAAACATTTATAATAATAGATCAAAAAGATTTCAAACTATGTATTATAGCTTAAAATATAAATTATGCAATAATAGGTGATTTAACGTGACATAAAAAAAGTGGGAATTATATATTAATATATCATATAGACTCGGAACCGTGAAATTGTAATGAGGTACTTCAAATTAGCATAAATTAAAAGATTCTGTTAATACATTTCTTTTATAGAGCTGGTGTTTATTTAAAAATAGATATTATTATATGTCTATTTACTACTATTATGATTTATTCAACTGCTCGCAAGTAAAAATCTATGTATAACTCATTTTGTATAATATGTGATTACTTTAACTGCGCCGGAATCGTAATATGCACCGGAGATGGGGTCAGTATACGCATTTGACCTAACCTAAATATCATAAACCATTTATAATACATCTATTATAGCTTTTAATATAATATACAAAAATATGTAATAAGCGACTTAAATACCCCCCCCCCCCCATTATACAGACTTAGAATCCTTCAAATTGCTATAAAAATAAAGGCGCAGTAAGAATGGATTATAGTGACGGATTTAATTTTTAAAATCTAAAATGTTTATATATTACATTATAATTAAATTATTTCAACTTCACAAATCTAGGTACCATCAATGTTATGTTATATTATAATAAGCAATTACTTCAACTACACTGATATCATAACACACCTCAGTTCCTTCTCCAGAATATGCGTTTGTCTGAACCTAAATATCATAACATATATAGTATATCATAGATTTTAACATAATATTTAATAATATATAATTAGCGATTGTAGAGTAATTAGACTCATACATTGTTCCATCACAGATTCAGAATGGGATAGGATTTCTCAAATAGACAAAAATTTAAAGGCTCAATTAAGAAATTTATTTTATAATATTGTGCAAATTTAAATAATCCAAATATTATATTTTTAATATTTACGATAATTTTAACTGCGGGCACTGATTTAAGTATGATAAATATTTATGTAATACTATTATTACCTCAATTGCACCTGTATCGTAATATGAGGCATCATATACATCGCCAGAATATGCGTTTTTCTAAAGTAAATGTCATAAAACATCAAAAAAAAATTGAAAAATATATAAAGTGTAAAAGGTATTCTGACCGTGACCAGTGTTGAAAACAAATAAAAATTAGTATTAGCCATATACGTTATTAACTTCTTATAAGTCAATAAATAAATATTATTGATTATTTTATCAAAAGCTATAATAGATATATTATAAATTATTTATATTTTCAAATTCCTATTGACCCTGTCCTTGATGAATTCTATGATTCTGGTGAAGCCAAAGTAGTCATATATTATACAAACTAGGTTATAGACAGATATTTTGCTTGCAAGCAGTTGAATAAATTATAATGGGAGTAAATAGAAATATAACATCACTTATTGTTATAAAATCATGATGGCTAGCTAGGATTAAGAAAATTATTTTATTAATAAAATGTAGAATTACATTGTCATACTATATATCTTAAATTTCTACTTAGAATTTTTAATTTGAATATAAAATAAAATTAAATATGTTAGTAAAAATCGCCATATATTTATAAAAGGTTATTCGAATATTATAATTATTATAAATTATTTTAATTAATATTATATTATTTATTTTAATAAATATTATATAATTTATTTAAATTAATTTTATATTATATTTTTATAATTATAATAATTTAATTTTAATTAATATTAAAATGTTATTTTAAACATCTATAACACCTATATTTTTAAATTTACACCAGCTCTATAAAAGAAATATCTTAGCAGCCTTAAATTTACGTCCATTTGAAGCACCTTATCACTTCACAAATCTGAGTATTTCGATATGTCAATGTATGAATTTTAACTTCTATTAAAAGTCACAGTTAATTAACTATTATTGCATATTTATATTCAAGGCCTAATACAGCGAAGGGGGGGGGGGGTAATTTTAAAGATTTTAAGTTTACATTTAATTTTTTTTTTAAATAAAAACGATATTTATAATTATGATATATAAAAATTTGGTCATTATCTTTGGCTTACTTAAAGATATTTAATGTAGATTAATTTTAAAAAAATATCGTTTAAATTTCTCCTGTGAAAAAGAAGATGGCACATTATATACATCAAGGAAGCTCCAAATTTGGTGATCGGAATTAGACTAGGAGATCAGCACCTTACTCTTAATCTAGAACAAGAAATGAAACCTAGAGGTTCAAGAATATATTCCTATCGGATGGATAATGGTCATTATACTCTTCATGTACCATAGTTGACTATAAACTAACAAAAAATAAATAAATTGTTAATTTGATAATTTAATCATTTCAGATTGTTTAAACAATAATTTGTAATATTTATAGCTTTTACATTAATCTTATTGGGGTATTTTTTTGTAATTCAATTATCTATCATATATAATTTTATTTAATTATACCTTAGTCAAAATCTTTTATTTTTAAAAACTATAGCTTCTTTTTAAAATTTGATTTTTTTTCTTCTCTCTATTTTTATATTTTTCATATTTGAACCTTTGAAAATAAAGTTTCATTTGTTTTCAAAAATCTGACAAGAAAAATATCCCCCCCCCACATTCACTGTATTATAACTTGAAATATAAATATGCAATAATAGGTGTGATAAATGCGATATAAGATATTATTATAGTTCATAGATTATATTATGATGAGACATTGTTGATAGTTTTTAAAAAACGATATAATAAAGTCATATGTAGTCTAAATTAGTAAAATAGGTAATTAAATGTGACTTAAAAGAAGTTGGAGACTCATTCATTAATATATGGTAGATTCTCAGATTTGTGAAGTGCATAAATTTTAAGGATGTTAAGATATTTCTATTATAGAGCATGTGTAAATTTAAAAATATAAGATATATTATATTTCTATTTATTCTTATTATAATATTCAACTACTTGCAAGCAAAAAATCTATGTATAACCCGTTTTTTTATAATATGTTATTACTTTGGCTTCACCGGAATCATAATACGCACCAAGGACGAGATCAGTATAGGCATTTGACTTATCCTAAATATCATAAATCATTTATAATAAATCTATTATAGTTTTCAATTTGATAGTTAACAATATGAAGCTAGAATCAAATATTGCCAATACTAATTCCCCCCTCCCTTCCCCTCACATTCCTAGGACCCCTCAAATGCTTGTAAAGATAGAGTTACGCATTTTATAGTCATATTTAATTGTTAAAATCAAGTTATAATATATATATTTATAATATTACGCTTGGAATTAAGCGATTAATTTAACTGTACAAATTTAGTTACGTGTGTTATGTATTCAGTAGAGTAACCAGTATTTATCAATGGGAGGGCGGGGGATGGGGGGTGGAAAATATTTTGAGGGCATCGCTCTTCGGCCGGGTCCCTCCTATAAAAATTTGTATATTATTAATTTTCTCGGCTGAACAATTGGGAATATTAATTCTAAAATGTGCCAATGTTTTGTGCTTTATTAGTGGCTGACTTTAGTCAATAGAGTATTCAGCATAAATAAAATAAATTAAAACAAAAAACTTTGCACCTTACGATTAAAAAGCGACAGAAAGCATTATTCTGAAATTTGTATCAATGTTTAGTGTTCACTGTTCACTTGTAAAAATTATTTATTCCGTTTACTTCTCTCCCCCCCTCCCCCCCTCCCCCCCCCCCCCCCCCCCTATTTATTCCACTGTATTTTATATATTTTGCAATTACTTCAACTGCGCTGTCATTATAACACGCATGAGTGACAGCTCCAGAATATACGTTTGTCTGTACCTAAATATCATAAATCGTTTAGAACATAGTATCATAAATCCGTCAAATATATCTATTATAGCTTATATAATATTTAATAACCACTCAAAGAAATTAGACTAATATATTATTTGCTCGTAGACTCAGAATAGTATGTTCTCAAATCCGGCTCAATTAAGAAATTTATATAGCGCTTGTGTAAATTTTAAAAAATCTAAATATTTTGTTTTTATTTATTACTTGCGATTATTTTAATTCAATTGCATTAACAAATATAGGTATGATATAATACTAATATAGTACTAATATGGTATTACCTCAAATGCACCAGCATCATGATAATAGGCACCATTTACATCACCAGAATACGCGTTTTTCTTAATGTAAATTCCGTAAAACATAATAATTGATCAAAAAGATTCAAAGAAAGGTAATATAAAATATAAAATAAATTATGCAATAATAGGTAATTAAATATGACTCAAAAGAATTTGGACATATATTAATGAATCCCGGAAAAAAACCAAAACAATCTCCGGAAAAAAAACCCCGAAATTTTTTTTCGAATTTACTTAAGATCTAATAATATCGGTATATTTTTATTTGGATTTATATAAGGTATAGACAAATTAGTATTTTAGAAAAAAATATTATAAAAATATAATTTAATAATAAATTATATACATAATAATGATTTATCATAAAATAAACAGATCTTATTGCAAATTTTGTTAAATTTAGTCTACTTAATATAATTATTAAGGATGGATATTGTATTTATTACTATAGCTTAAGTAATACATGGGTTATTTTACTGGAGTATTTGTTTTCCCAGTACCAATTTGAATATCAGCATTTTTTATTGTTTAGCACTGCGATTTTGTTTTCAGTGTGCAACTACCTACACGCCATCGTTCAAGTTTAATTTCAACGGCAGCCACCTCGCATTTTATTTTTTTAAATCAATACCCAGATTGATGGGAGTTTATTCCCAACCAGATTAGAAAAACGATGTCGAACCTTCGCATTGATTATTTATGATTAGTTGAATAGAGTGCTCTGATTTAAATTTCTGGAGGAAATAGAGGGCCAATTCGACCTGTCTGGGATTGAGAATTGCTTCTTGTGACCTCCCTTGATACTCCATTGATGTAATTTTTATCGAAATATTAAAGAATATCCTTACCATTGCTCGGAGTAACCGATCTAAGGAATTCCATTGCATTGCCCATATCACATAAAGGAACAAATGCTAAGCTGTCCATCATGCCACAAAAGAAGCTTAGGGCTTCATGGATTCTGTATTGGCTTTCCAGAACTAGCTTTTAAATTTTTCTATGGGTACTTTGACACAAATGGTAAAAGCATCCTCTGATTATGATATGTCTCCTAAATGAAAAAATTAATATAAATAATTTAACATATTAATGATCATACCAATTATAGTTTTAACCGCGCTCATATCAGACTTTTAGAAATCCATGTATATATATAATGGATCAGGAAATAAATACCTTTCTTGACATTTAGACATTATTACTTCGATTATTTTTTGTAAATATTTTGTGTTTTTTTGGAGTCTAATAGCGAATGTGTCATTCGATAAAATTATTTATCAATATAAATTATTGCTAGGTTATACTCAAAAAATTAAGTGATAATTGAGAAGAAGAAAATTGAGAAAAGGTTAGAAAAATAAAGATTAACAATGACTTAAACCAAAAATTGAAAGAAAATAATAAATTGAGAAAAAAATTTAAGATAAATAGACACGAATTTTATTTTTTATTAAATTTTTTTTCCTCGGTTTTTTTTCCGGAGATTTTTCCTGGGAGTTTTTTTTCCAGGGATTTTTTTTCCTGGGGGTTTTTTTTCTTATTACCTATATTAATTACTCATAATCGTGAAGTGATAGGGGACATAAATTTAAAGGCTCTGTTAAGATATTTCTTTTATAAGCGTTGATGTAAATTTTAAAACATAGGTATTATTATATGTCTATTTATTATAATTAAAATTAATTTAATTGCTTGAAAAAAATAATGTATAACATTTATTTGTATAATATTTGATTACCTTAACTTCACCGGAATCATAATACGCACTCGTGAGAGGGTCATAATATGCTTTTGTCTGAATAAATGTTATAAACATTTAATACCTTTAAATATAAAATCCAATAATACATAATTAATGACTTTAAAGAAGTTAGACTTTTTATTAATAACAAAAATTCCCCTTCCACCTTCTTCAAACTCAGAATCCATTAATGAGTGTAAAAACAAAAGGACTATTTAGAAATATATTTTATAGCCATATTAGATTTTTAAAGTCTAGCTATAATTTTTATTATAACTAGCACATTTTTAATTAGGCGATTAATTTAACTGCATAAATCTAGGTATATTATATGTCAGTGACGAAGCGTTCATAGAAACAAGATAAGCATTGCTTCCCTTAGAATATTTCCTAAATTATCTTATCTTAAATTAAATATGTTATGTGGAGTCATTCCTTTTTAGGTAAAATTGTGGAATCATTCTTTTTTATGTTAAAATTGAGAAGTTATTCTTTTTGTGATGAATATTATTTTTTGATATTAAAAAAGTGATATTTTTAGATCAATTATATTATTAATCAATTTATATTTATTTTATAGTACATATATATAATATATAGATAAAAAAAATGAAATAAAATAGACAGTTGCTTTTTCTCAGATTTTTTGATTATTTTTCTCGGCAAGATGTTTTGGGCAAAATAAGAAATCGAAAGAAAAGTAGAAAGGGAATGATTTTTTGTAAACCCTTCATTTAGGTTAAAAAAAACAATATTATAAATTTAACAATTAAATATAACTATATATAATTAAAAATTATTTTTGGGAAATTAAAATTAAAATTTAAAAATAAAACTATCCTTGTTTAATCTTTATGCTATGTTAAAAAAATTATACAATTTTTTTTACTATGCTAAAAAAAAATTTGCTACAATCATAAAGATATGAATATATATATATTTATTTTTACTACTATTATTTTTTACGTTTAAAAATAAAATATGTGAGAAGAAAATTCAAAATTGTTTATTATTTTATATAATAAATTTTCAAAAAAAAATCATACTCTTAAGATATATTTATGGTATAAATAATTTTATTAAGTTTAAAAAAAATAACATTAGAGAATCAAATGTAACAAAATTGCTTAAAATAAAGAAATAGAAAATCAAGCCAATGAATTGTGTAATTTTACGTTTAAAAAGTAAATCGTTGGGGGAAGCAAATTAAAAAATAGTTTCAGAGTTGAGATTTTAATTTTTTAAAATTAGCTATAATTTTATATTTCACTAATAATTAGGCGATTATAAACTGCAAACGTCTTCGCATATTAAATGTTATGTATTTATATTATGCAATCGATTCAACTGCACTGGCATCATAACACTCACTCATCAGTTACAGGGAAATGACACAAATCATTTATAATGTAATATTAGAAATCCGTCAAATATATCTATTATAGGCTTAATTATAATATATTCAATATATAATTAAAGACTCGGGGGAAGTTAGATTCATACAATAGGTGACTCAGAATGGATAGGGTTTCTTGGATACACATATTTAAAGGCTCAATCTAAAATATCTATATAACTCTTGAGCAAATTTTAAAAAAATCTAGAAATTATTATGTCTATCATTTTACGATTAATTCAATTGTGCGCACAAATTGAAGGATTATAACTATTTATATAGTACTATTTTGGATTACCTCAATAGCACCTGCATCGTAATAATAAGCCTCATGCACATCGCCAGAATACGCGTTTTTCTGAACCTAAATATCATAAAAACAGTTATAGATCAAAAAGATTGATATGTATTATAGTTTAAAAAAATAATTATGAATAATAGTTAAATGTGATTTTAAAATAAGTTGGACACATATTAATATTTCGTGCCGACTAAGAATCAACGAACCTTAAATTCATCTAAGTTACTTTACAGAAGTATCTTTAGCTAATCCGACACTTTCTTAATTGCATAAATTTTATTAAATCAATAAAATATCATTTCCATAAAATTTAACGTATTTCATATTAATATTACTATACGCCGGACCGTCGCCGAATTAAAAGTCAGTGGCCCTATGCCTATCTCTAAAATTTTTAATCGGCAGCGTAGTATGACAAAAATAACCCCGCGGCGGCAATGTTGCCGAGCGGCGCACAGGCTTAGGAATAAGTATTAAATAAAAATATAATAAGACAGCTTTTTAAATTTACATCGACACTAAAAAAGAGAAGTTTCTTAATGGAGACTTTAAATTTATGTCTATTTAAAGAACCCTGGCACGTGAGGATTCTGAATCTGAGTGGTACATTGAATGAAGTCCCAGTTAATTACCTATTACTGCATAACTTCTATTACAAGCTGTACTAGGTTCTATTTATAGGATGTTTGTAAACATTTTATGATATTCAGGTTCAGACAAGCGATAGTTCTGAGGCTGTATCTGATGCATAAATAACGGCATATTAAAACTATCATTCTCATAAAATCTTTAAATAATTATTTTATATTTTTTATGGATCTTTTAAAAAAAATCAAAACAATTTCTTTCTGAAATAGATAAAGTTGAAGACATGTTTAATTTAAGGTCTAAGAAAATTTCATGGACACAGGCTCTAATGCCAAGAGAAGTGCCCGGTTTGGTGAATATGAACACACATATGTTGACACGGAATGCATAATTTGTAACAGTGAATGGAAAACAGAAAGTAAGTAGAATTGAAAATCTAGGTTAAAAAATAAGAGAAATTATAGTAAGATTCAAGATCTCATATCTCGATAGTTATATCGGAGAACAGAGAATGTTTAGAGGCAAAAGATCTAACATCATATATATTAGATCTGGACAATGAAGATCCGTTCATATTACTAATATATGATTACCTTAACTGCGCCTCATTAAAACTTATTAGGTTACAAGGCCAGTACAAGCGTTTGTCTATGATAATTCATAACATAAAGTACTCAACGTTATGAATAGAAACGCATGTAAAAAAAATAGCATTTTTTTTATTAATTTAAAAAATATTGTATATTATTTTTTAATCTAATTACAATTCATATATAATATTAATTTATAAAATAGATATTATTTTTAATAATAATTAAATATGTATTATGCCGCCACACCGCCAACACATTTTGACGGCGGCGTCAGTGCAGTCAAAAATTACTGGCGGCACACAGGTCTATATATATATATAATAAAGATCGCGGAAATAAATATTTATTGTAACTTTAATATAAATTATGCAATGATAGGTCAATAACGGCGACTTAAAAGAAATTAGACTCATGCATTGTTCTTGTACTCAGATTCCTGACCTTTAAAAGTTCTTCCATTAAGAGATTTATTTTATCGAACTATTATAAATTTAAAAATCTATATATATATGTATATAATGTGTGATTACTTTAGCCGCACCGTCATAATAGCCTTGTTGATAGGCGTCTCCCCACATCTTAAAATTATGATTCTCTGCGTAATATTCTTTATTTTGGTATTCATATCCTACCCCATCATTTTGATCGGTAGCCGGATAATAATAATGTTCCTTAGAAGCATATTTAAGCAAGTCTCCTTCGGTCTTTAAATTCGAATCATCGTACTCCGAATTTTGAACGTACGGATATGATTTGTTCCAGACATTGTCATTCGGGGTAGCGGTTTTTTCGTGATAATAATACTGATTTGAATCTTGAAAAATTAATAACGAACGGTATATACTATAAGAAAGAAAGAAAGAAAGAAAGAAAGAAAGAAAGAAAGAAAGAAAGAAAGAAAGAAAGAAAGAAAGAAAGAAAGAAAGAAAGAAAGAAAGAAAGAAAGAAAGAAAGAAAGAAAGAAAGAAAGAAAGAAAGAAAGAAAGAAAGAAAGAAAGAAAGAAGATATTTTATGTTTCTCTAGGATAAGTTTTCGGAAACTATTACTAAAGATAAAAATCTAATCCTTCGACTACTTTCTTCTACTCAAGAGTTCAGAAAGAATATCACTTTTTTTTGCCAATATCTGGACCAAGTATAGGCTAGATACCAACTGATACATATAGACTGTATCTTCAGTTTGATATTAATCTACTCGGCTCAAAATCATAATTATAATTGGCGTTGATATTAAATTAGTTCTCCACAATAATCGATTTTTCTAGTTCATATTTATATTTAAAAATCGTACGAGAGGTGTAGGGATGGGAGTATATTTAAAAAACTTTTCTCTCCGCGGCTTTACCACATATTTATCGTAAAAAACATTATGAGCATCGTTTTAGTATTTAATTTTACCGGATAAAGCAGGTACCAGAATATCTCCAACACCGCCTGCGTTATTATAATGAATCCCAACTCCTGAATTTTAAAACATGATTGTATAATATTTATATAATCGTAGCCATATGGGTAAGAGAAGGGGGGGGGGGAGGAAATGTTTTCCAACAAGAAATTTTTCTGTTTTAGCTAATACAAAAATTCTCTTACACCCCTCTCCTGCCCCCAGCTCTTACTCTACCCTCTCTCCAAAAAAGTATACAATATTTTACTTACAATCAATCATTTTTCCAAAAGGAAAATAAGTAAAAGGTTAATATTTTTTCTAAAATAAATCACTATAAATTCAAAATATTTCAGAATAAACTTCAGAGATTTGAGGGTAAATAAAACTAAGGTCCTCCCAATAATAAAAAAAGCCTATTTTTTTAGGAACACCTAAAACCCCGCATTCGCAGTTGGCGCGAAATTATACAAAATAGTTTTAATATATTTTGCCGCTAATTCGCCGTTACCCGTGAGTGCAGGGTATAATATTACTCACGTTCTCTCTTTTGGCAAAATCCTGGCTATGCATATAATAAATGAACATATAGATTTTGTTTTTTGGTATTTTTTATTAATCAAATTTTACCAGAATGTAATGAGGAAGTATTGATGGCTCCAGCGCAATCTCTGTTACTATGATCGATTCTACCAGCTTCTGAATTTATGAAACATAATTACACTCTATTATAAATTTAGTTTATTTTAATTATAATATTTTAATTATTGGAGGTTCTTAAGGGCGGGGGGGGGTGAATTCTACGTTTTCACATCTCGCGTTATTATCAATGATGATTTCGGAATTGGGAAAAAATTTTCCCATTTCATTGAAAATCCCTAATTCCCTTCAATCATTTCTTAAAAAAATTAGGAGGGAATCAACGACATATTATAATAATAATTAATAGACTGACGATGTAAAAGTGTTGCATCAATGAAAACAGCTGGGGACGCCATTGTGATTAATTACCCATATCATTATCAAAAATTTTAAAGAGAGACCAATTTATTGTCCTGTCGCAAACTTTATTAAAGTGCCCGATCAACGAGATAATTAAGGAAGCGAGTCATCAATTTGATAGCAGTTTTTTTAACATGAGAATAATTACTATATGGGTTACCAAAATGGCGGGTCCAGTTGGTTTGCTTTCAACTACCCTTTCAAAATGCATTATTAATGAATGCTTCGTCAGTCTCGCTATTATTATATGTCATTGTGGAGAATGCGCATTTAATATAGAGATTTTGAATTATTAATTTAGCTTATGGGACTCGATGTTAAAATCAAGATAATAATATTTTATTTAAAAAAAGACAAAAAAATTGTTTAAAAAAAACAAACAATTTTTAAATAAAAACAAAACAATTTTTTAAAAAAACAAAAACAATTTTTTTTAAAAAACACAATTTTCAAAAAAAACACAAATTTTTTTTAAAATTACAAAACAATTTTCTAAAAAAACAAAACAATTTTTTAAAAAAACAAAAACAATTTTTTTAAAAAAAACACAATTTTCAAAAAAAAACACAAATTTTTTTTAAAATTACAAAACAATTTTCTAAAAAAACAAAACAATTTTTAAAAAAAAACAAAACAATTTTTTAAAAAAAACAAAACAATTTTTTAAAAAAAACAAAACAATTTTTTAAAAAAACAAAATAATTTTACAAAAAAAAACAAAAAATAAAACTAGGATAATCATTGTGAAGGATTAGTGCTTTTATTAATTGAAAATACACAGGGGAGGTTCAGGAACAATAGTAGTTGTTTTTAAAAAAAAATATACTCCGTTATTATAATTTAAAGCGGTGCTATTTATTTGCGTATTTTTAACGCTGAAACTCTGAGCGAAAACGCTACAAGTAAAGAATATAATTTTATTTTTTTCACTCCAATAAACTTTACGAGCGTTTCCTTGGTTAAGGCCGAGCCGAATATCGAATGTGAATAAGTAATTCTTAAAATAAAAAAACCAAATAATAACTAAAAATAACATTCGAACCTGATATCTCCATATCCATGGCATGAGCTTCACTCTTGGATTTTCTAGAAGGATTAGTTATTTCTTCCTGTAGCTCTAAATCCGGTTTTAAAAAACAAAAAATATGATAACAAAATGTTGAGAAAAATTCAAATAATTTCTTATGTGCAATATGTTTAACACCCAGTGTCTATCATTTACGTGTGTATTCATTGAAAACGCCTCACAACTTTTAATTTTTTGAGTTGGGGTTAGGGTTAGAATTTTTAGAACCAGATTAAAATTTTTTTTAATAATTATTCATCTATCAACAACCACAAGGTTCAATAGCTATTATATTAAAAAACAAATGAAAGTGCAAACCAAACCAAAATACAGAGAAACATTATACCTATTGACAACGGGCAAAAAATTTAAAAGAAATAATGTTTTAAAATTGCAGGTAATTTACAAAACTTTTGTTAATCTGCTCGTATAGAGAGAGAGATGGTAAAAGAATTGACTATGATTATTGCTTTAAAAATGATCTTTTTAGATGAAATCTAAAAAAATTTTAAGCTTAAACATTAAGATGAAGAATATGAAAAGATAATTTTTTAAAAAATACATGATTATTCAAGGATTGTTCAGATATAAAGATGTGAAAGTTCGAATAAATACCTCTTAAATCAAATGGCAAAAATTTTGGAAGAAATACATGATTTCTTTGTACACTGAATTATGACAAAAAAATTTCTGAAAATAATACAAACTAATCAGTGTATTTCGATAAAAATGACTATCGCTGAACCTGAGGGCTTAATAATAAGAAGCGGTAAAATTAATTTGATTAGTTAATTATTAATGGGAAAAATCCGCGTGACTAAAACTCCTATTATACAGCAAATATTAATTATTTAATTGAATTAATAGGAAATTATTAATCTTTCAAGGAATCAATTAAAGATGCTTTGGGATTTACTGTTGAAATCTGGGGTTCAGACCAAGCCTCCAGAACCCGGTGTTCTTTTGAGTCAAAATTTCCTAATGTTTTAACTATTCGTAAAAATAAATTTAAAAAAAGTATTTGAACTACGAAAGTTATAATGAGCCCTGTTATAACTTCCAAAGTAAATTTAGAGTATATAAAACATATTTGTTAGGGTTAAAGTTAGGATTAGGATTAAGTTTAGTGTTAGGGTTAGAGTTAGGGCATATGAAAATGCAAAATAAATTCAATCGAAAATAGATTTTAATTTTTAAAATTCATATTTAAAAAAAATTTTTTTCTCTTAATTGTAAGTTATTTTATAGAATAAAAGTATTGCCGCACATTGAAGCAAATGATCCTGCTTGAATGAGTTAATATAGCGCATTTATGGATTCAAACATGTTATCTAGTAAAAAAATAAATAAATAAAATATAATGGGATTATGAATTGGAGCTAATACTTCTGTTTATCAGGCCACAAACAAAAAAAAACATGAAAAAATTATCGAGAAGTTTTGTGATCCAGGAGGTGATTACTAGTCAGCTATTGATATTGATATTGAATGTGTAATGCATTTATGATCAAATTTTATATATTATCAAAATTATCACACTTGCTATTTTTATATTACATAAGAGGTGAGAGGTTTCTTTACACAGCCAAGGAGCCAGTTTTAATAGAGTTTGAAAGAAAAAAATAAATATTCAAACATATTTTTGAGCAATTTTTTTTTTAAAATGACATTGCGTTGCGATATCTATTTAACCAAAAATATTTTTTTTTTAAAATGTGCATTTTAAAATTACAAAATTGAAGTTTAATTTTGTTTAAAAAAAACGGTTACAAATTTTAAAAAAAAATAAAATAAAGATACAATATATATAAAAGATAACAAAATAGAGGTGGGGGGAGGGGGAATGCCACCCTGGGGGGGGGGGGAGGTTGCCTAAGTATTTTTTCTCCAAAAAAAATATTTTGAAATTTTTAGGAAAAAAAATTTGTAATCTGGTTCTAAAAATTCTAACCCTAACCCCAACCTAGTTAATAGAAGGAACAAAGGTCTAGAGACATGTATTATTAAAATCTTAAAGGCTTAGGGCAATATTTTTTCTGGCTAAAATATTGAGTTAGCCATTTTGAAAAAAAATCGGCTCAAAACGAGCCGTTTAACAACATTACTGTGTAGTGATATATATGTTAGCGTCAACGTATTTTTTTTTCCGGTAATGTATTATTTTTCTTTACAACTTTAAATCATACTTTCGAGCGCGTTTTTCTATTTAAATTTAAAATAATCTGATTTTACCGGAAATACATTCCAATCATGTTTGGAATTACCTATCTTATGAATTTGTAGAGACAATTTTGCTGTTAAATCTTTGAGTCTATATATAAAAAATTTATCCACGGAAATATTATCTGAAATCCATAGGGTAGGGTAGGTATTCCAAACATGATGGAATATATATCCGGTAAAATCAAAAATTAACAGAGTTGTTAAAGTATCTAGATACAAGTATCTAGATACTGTATCTAGATATAAAAATGTAGTATCTGTATCTAGATAGATTTTTTAGAAAGGTATCTGTATCTGTATCTAGATATTTTTTAGAGGTATCTGTATCTGTTTTTAGATACTTTTTAAGATACATGTTATATACCCCTTTTTTTATTATAAAAAAAAATATTTGACTGTAAAATTTATTTTATTTCATATGAGCTTATGAAATAAATAAATATATATATATTATATATTAATATTTATTAATACTATAATAAAGAATTATATATACATAAAATATTAAAACTTATATATAAAAAATATATATAAATATTCATTAATTTAAATATTATGTCCGGAGTTTATCAATAAACCATACAAATTTTAATATTACAATATGGAAATGGTAAATTTTATTTTATAACTAAATTTTTAAGTTTATATATTAATTTAGATCTATATCGATGAAAAAGAGGAAGCAACAACAAGTTCTATTGCTTTACCATGACCTTTTCACAATATAATATTAATTTAGGTTTATGCAAACCTATAAGAGCATAATAAAAAATGTATCTGTATACAGATACATTTAAAAATTGTATCTGTATCTTGATAACTTTTTAGACGCTGTATCTGTATCTAGATAACTTTTGAGACTATGTATCTGTATCTGTATCTAGATCCATTTAAAAAGTATCTTTTAACAACTCTGAAAATTAAGTTGAAAAAATAACAAATTGCTGGGAAAAAAACACATTGACCCTAACATATACTTAGACTTTAAACTTAGACCTTTAACTTACTCATGGTTAATTAACAATTTTATTTTATAAGTATAAAATATCTAATATACCTTTAGTTTGATTCTTAGGATTTTTTCGGAATAATGAAATGAATGGATATTTCCTATTCGATTCACGAACGTCCCTTTTACCCTTCATGGCTCTTAATAAAAACATTTTGTGTCGTATTTTATATGGGTTATGATATAAGAAATGGGTTTACAAAAAAAAAATTGAAACTAAAGAAAATGTGTGTTTGTGATTATATGTTGCATCGATAGTGGAAGCATTTTTTTTTAAAAGATTTGACACGAAGAAGAATGGCGTATTTATTATCATTATAATTTAGAAATTGAAAAATCAAAACATATAGATATATTAATTTTATGATTCTAGAAAAGGCTGTTAAACCGTTTAAATATGAAATCAGCTGTTTAATTTTTTTTTTTTTAAATAAATAGTTTGTAAAATATGTACAAAAAGAGTTATGTTTGTGTCTTTTAGGCCGTCTCTTTAATTCTTCCTTTTTGAGTATTCAAAATATCTGTTCTGAAAAGACATTTGATAAGATTTAAAAAAAAAAAGAAAAGGGATTTAAATCACCTGATATCAAAACATATTATTTAAAATAACCAAAATGGTGTCCAATCATCTTATCACAAAAAAAATAGTTAAAAGTTTTTTTTAAAAACAGAGGTTCGGATAACGGGTTCCCTAAAAATTTTAACAATCAATTTCCGGTTTCTTATATTTGATCCGGGATAAATCTGTTTCGGTTACGGATAGTAAGCTAAGAAAATTTGTTCGAATATACTACTCGGAAAAGTTAAAACTTAGAAATTATTTTTTGGTTTTTCCTTTAAATTATAGATTTTGGCATATTGTAACAACGTCTATAAAAATGTATTTACAAGTATATTAACTCCTATTTTTTCTACTCTAAAAATCACGGGGAATCTCTTTCAGGGGATTATTTTAGGTAGATTTATCTTCCAGGGAATTTTTTATCCGGGGAATCAAATTTTGCATATAATTTGCAAAAATAATTTAAATTTATTATACTTCAAACTGATATTTCTTATTTAATTCGAATTTACGAATCCAATAATTAGTTATTCGTAAATTTTTCGGTTCGAACCTCTAAAAACCGGTTTGAACACTTTGGTATGCAAACCTACATTCGAATTAAATATTTTATTTGTTGTCATATTTTGATTTAATAGAGCAAAAGTTGGTATCTTTTTTTTATTGACACTCAAGATTTGCTACAAAGTGACCCTTCATAGTTGTTTACATATTTATAATACTGTATATAAATAATTTACAGATTGGATTAAATTAATCTTTAGGCATAATAGGCTTAAAAATATTTTAAATAAGTGAATTGTAATATACAAATGCTTATAAAAATTGATGATAATAATTTCAACAATTGGAATCTACATTTTTAGCAATATATACTAGTAATAACTTTCATACTATTTTATAAGCAAAAATCATGAGATTAGAAGGTTAACAAACATTTTAGCGGTGTACGTTTAGGTTAACGGTTTAGGCTCGGTTTTTCATCATGTATTTTGTTAAAGAAAATAGGTATATTCCATAGATCATCTCTAATAGTAAAAATTTAAACTACTTCATCATTGTGACTTTGTGGTAACCTTGAGAATCAGTCGAACAACATTGTATTTGCCAGCTTCATACTTTATTATAAAATCGTAACCTCCTAAAGATATATTACACTTTTGTAACAGCAAGGACATTGTGCTATTGTCTTTTAAACATTTTGTAAAAATATGGACTAGAGGTTTATGGTCATTGTAAATTTAGTCTCAATTAGATACTCCTGGAACCTCTTGATGGCCAACATTATAGCAAGAGCCTTTCAATGTTATTGTAGTTCATTTCAGATTTGAGTAAAGTTCTCGAAGCAAAAGCTACTGGTTTTTCTTTTCCACCTTTATCAGTGTAAAATAGCTTAGCTCTCAATCCCATTTAGATGCATCATTAGAAATTCCAATTGGTAATTCGGGATTAAAATAAGTCAGTGTTAGAGTAAGAATAATCAACATTTTTAATGTATTATAATTTAGAGTGTTCTAAGTTCCATAATTGTATAAAGGATCTGCAATATCCGCCAAGTTGGTTAAAAACTTTTTGTAGCTGCCAGCCATTCCCTGAAATGTTGATAGCTCAGTGGCTGATTCTTTTTTTGGTTTCTTTATTATTGCTTTAATTTTATCGTGTTGCATGTATACCATTTGCATCATTATCATAACCAGGGTTGCCAGGTCAAAATTTCAAATTGCGGGAGATATTTGGTATTTTGCGGGAGAAATATGAAAATTGCGGGAAAAATATATAAATTGCGGTAGATATAAAAAATTTGCTAGAAAAGGCCCGCAAGATCCCGGCCGGGATTTTAAGACTTAATTATCCGCCTATTATTTTTTATAATTAGTTTATATAAATACAAATTCGGTAACTATTTTTCAAAATAAAATAACATCTTGATTTATTAAAATATTAATTTATAAAAAATAACCAACGATCCTTTTATATAAAAGAATTAAACAAGATAAAATTTTATAAAAAAATAAACGATTTTAATTTTACAATGTAAATATATTTAATGCGAATGTCCCGCAAAACATCCACAATTGAAAATAAACCTTGCGTGTGTGTATAACATTATACGGATAGGCGCTTAATTATCACGTATCACGTTAAATACATAATAAGATTATATTGTACTCATTTCAATGATAATTATTTTATTTATTATTGTTCATTCACATTATTATAATCAGTGGAGATGAGTGTATCTACATCCATTGTAAAACAAAAATTTTATCCAAAAATAATAAACAGATGCAACTACAGTTGCAGCAATAGATCTCACTTATCTTGTAGTACATCATTCACAGAGCTATTTATCATTACAATGTGGGTAGAATCTTTCCCCATAATATATAACGACTCTAAGATAAATGAAAACTTTACTTGTAGAACAAAAATGAGCAAGGATATCATCAATGTTTTAGAACCTGAATTCAAGAGGTCATTTCTCGTCGATTTGAAAGATGGGCATACATATGCAATTCTAACAGATGCATCTAATAAAAGAAATATTAAAAGGTTTCTTTTGATCCTTCGCTATTTCAACAAAATTAAGGACGTTTTAAGAAAACTATTAAATTTTTTCCCCTCGAATAGTGAAAAATCCAAAGTCATAGCTAACCATATAATGGTAAATGTAGCAGATTCGGGATTATTAATAAATTGCATGTCAACTTTCTGATCTGATAATGCCTCAGTGAATTTGGGAAAACCCAGAGTGTATTTACAGAATTGAGTCAGCACAATGTTGGTTGCCATATGTTCCTAATACCTGCCATCTTAAAATTTTATAAACCTTTATAAATTTCTAAAATAAAGAATATAAAAGCTATCTTAACATTTTGAAAATTTATTTCAGTAATGAAGGGCAGAGGAATATTTAAGAATGATTTCACATGTAGAAAATCTACTACATACTGTTAATGTGCACTTGCAATCAGAAGAATCTTAACAAAGATTCACAAAATTATGCTAAAGGTGTTAATCTTTACAGTTAAAAATTGACAATAATTTTTATGGCGCCATTGCTAAAACTTAAAATGTTTAAATATTTTAAAAATACCGATAGACATTGATGTCTTGTTTGAGGATATTGTAATCTCTATTTTTGATTTACAATGTAAAAAATATATTTATTTTATGCGAATGTATAAATAAAAAAATATGGAAAATTAAATATAATACAATATTAATTATATTTTATTTGAGATTTAAATAATGGAACTAAACGTTTACCGTCGTTATTGATATATTTATAAAATTCCTGGCTTCACATATAAATTTGTTTAACCATTAGCTCGGCCTCTAATGTTGTTAAAGCCATCCGTTTTCCAGGCAGTCCTCATCGGGCTAAAAATGCGCTCGGGTGAGGCATTAGAATGAGGTAGGCATACTATTTTTTACAAGCATGGGTATTTATTGTTATTACGAAAAAATTTAACCCATTTCTCCTCTACTTTTAGACCATCTAACTTTAAGTATTCTGGCTAATTATAAAAAATAGAGAGAATTACAATCTCCTCAAAAAAGGCATCAATATATTTATCCAATTACAAAAACCATCAATTGATGGTTTCTGTTATAAGGTCATATTTATACATTTGTAAATAGAGTTATTAAAATCAAATTTTGATTGTAAATATTCTAAATTGTCTTAATAAAAATATCTGTTTCATTTAAAAATGTATTAATTAGTGTATTATTTGAACATTTTAATATAATATTTTTAGCAACAGCGCCATAAAATTTATTATTAATTTTTAACTCTAGGGAGGAATTGAGCTGTAGCATAATTTTGTGAACCTTTATTAATAAAGAATATTCTGATTGCAACTGCATATTAATTGCATGGTAGATTTCCTACATGTGAAACTCATCCCAAATATGCTTCCGTCATTTCATTCTCGAAAAATTTTTCAAAATTTTTGGACAGTTTTTAAAATCTTATTTTAAAAGTATTTTTTTAAGGGTTTGTAAAATTAATTCTATCGGTGGCATGTAAAAATGATAACCACCTGATAGGTACATATCGCAACAACTCATACATCTAAGTAAGACCACTCCACTAACTATTTTAATTCCTTAACTCTTTTAGTTGATGAACGACATCCACAGATAGTACATTCATTGCCTTCTTGCAAGAATCATGTAGTATATGGCATATACAGGCAATTGGTATTAATTCATTATTATGCTGCCTCAATTCAGTAAACACACTTTGGTTTTTTCCAAAATTTACAGAGGCAGTATCAGCGCAGAAAGCATACAATTCATTGATAACCCTGAATCAGCTATATTTATATATTTACATTATGTGGTTAGCTACATCGTTGGATTTTTCACTATCCGAGGAAAAAAATTTAACAGTTTTATTGAAATGTTATTATTCTTGTTGAAATAGCGAAAGATCAAGGATTTTTTAATATTTCCCTTATTAGATGCATCTGTCACAATTGCATATGGATGCCCATCTTTCAAATCGTCTAGAATTGACCTCTAGGTTTCAGGCTCCAAAAATAATAAATAATATAGATGCAACTACAGTTGCGGAAATCGTATACAACTACCATGTAGTTCAACATT